CCGGCCGTCTTGGCCTGTCGTAAAAGAAGCGGAGGCGCGACAGATGACTTACCTGCAGGCTGTCATCAAAGAAGGCTTGCGTATCTTCCCTCCGGTTGTCGGACAGATGTCGAAGGAAGTCCCCAAAGGCGGCGACACCTTTAAAGGCGTGTACTTACCGGAGGGAACGCGCATCGGTTACGGAGCGTGGGGTATTTTCCGCCGAGGCGACGTTTGGGGACAGATGCCGACGACTTCCGACCGGATCGATGGCTCACGGCGGATGCGGAGACCCTGCGATCGATGGAGGCAACGCTCGAGCTTGTGTTTGGCCACGGCAAATGGAAGTGTTTAGGACGGAATGTGGCGATGATGGAGTTGCAGAAGATATTTGTTGAGGTACGTTGCTGCGGCGTGTCCGGCGTGTGGTTCTGCTCTTGCGAAGACGACGCACTGACACTTCAGTCAGCTGCTGCGGAGATTTGACTTGGTGTTGTGTGACCCTACAAGGCCGTGGAAGTCACTCAACTATGGAATCTTTCTGCAATCCCAGTATTGGTTGAGGGCATACAAGCTCCCGCAGAAGCGTCCGGCCAAGATAGATCACAAAAAAGCGAGGGTGCGCTGCCTGCCGTCGCCGCTGCAGGTTTGTAAGTGGATAGCGCTGGCAGAACGGGCGACCAAAGGTTTGTTGGCGCCGCGGCTCGTCTAGTACCGCGGAGAAGGTCGCGGGGACACTAATACTGGCCGCCGGTCCGTGGCGTCGGCCCCAGACTGGGTGTGACGGCACGTACTCGAAGCACAGTTGCGCTGACTCACATCAGCCGCCTTTTTTTTGTCTTCTCTCTTTTTTCTTCCGAGTCCACTATATTGAGGGTGTAGAACCTAATAGAAACGCTCAATTCTCTCCGCCTCCTGTCTCTCCGCCTCTTGTCTCTCCCTCAAGCGTCGCATCAGGTTCAACAGCAGAGGCTGTCTGATTGCAGTCGAGACAATGCGATGTCACACATGGGCATCGCTGATGTAGTCGAAGCACACGACTCGAAAGGGTCGCTCAGCGTCAAGAAAGATCACCACATTTTTTGGCCCTCCTCATGAACGTTAGGCAGCATAGGAGAGAAGCGGTCATGCAAATTTTGGCTCGAATGACTGGTCAGTTACCAAGTCACACGGAACATCGCATGCGTGTCTTTTCCATTCAAGGAGACACGGCAACAGCAACGGGCGACGGTGAAGCTGCAAGGGAAAATATTTTGGTTAAAGTGCGCCGATCTCGACCACGGCCTACTGTACACTGTAGCCCTCTCCAAGAGCCTCCACTTTATCCGCCGGCGTGTTAAGCTCGTCCGGAGGGTCTGCATCAGTGCGACGCACCGGACAAATCGGCCGTTCCTGCAAGGCATACTGTAGCACGCGTTGTCTCGTGCCTGCCGACCCTCAATTCCGGTTTAGTCGACGCTGAAGTCCCTTGTGTGGGGAAACGGTCCGCTCATGGAATTCTCTACAAATCCAAACCATGACGAAATGGGAGTTCCTACTTTACAAGCTCACCGATGCTGCCTAGAGCGTCGACTGTGAGCTACGTGGCCTGTGTTCCCTCATCGTTTGTCAGCAACCAGAAATTCACGAACAAAAGTGGGAATGTGTCACTTCGCCACACGTGGCGCTGCCCATTCCTGTCGTACGATACCGCCTACCATAAGACCTGCCCGTCTCGTACGGTATCTAGATACGACTCCTTGTCTCCCACTAAGAAAAAAACAAGCCACTTTCTACCGTGTATATCCTCCACTTACTTGCTCGCTTTGCGACCCGCTCTGCGACAGAATAGGACGTTAGGGGCGAAAAGCCAGGAATCGATCCTAGGTGCGATTGTACTGTTGCCCCTGCCATTCTGCGTTTTGGGTCGGATCGACGTTGGACAAGTGGAGATTCGTAAGGTCTAGTCTCGCATCCAGGCTGGCTTCGGGAGCAACAAACGGATTCAAAGGCCTAGCCCGATCTGATGGGTGGCTGATTGATCCGTGCAATCGGAGCCAGGTCGGGACTTGCGCACATGTGGCCCGTGGGCGGGGAAGGAGCCTCGACTGGCTGGCCACAACGACTTTGCAGGGCCGTCGGATCTGTGTGACCCCTAAAGCCGAAAGCGTTCTTCAACTTGACGATCACGTGCTCCGCCTCCTTCACCTCACTTCACTGTCCCTGAGACACCATGAAGCTCTACAATGTATTGTTGGCATTCCAGGTTCGCAACTGCAACTTCCGGTCCGCTTGAACCAATGGCTGGTAGCGAGAAACGAAGTCGACGTCTACCAGCAGGCAACCTATTGCGAGTGAATTGTAGCACCGTCGAGCAACAAACCTTTCCTCCGAGTCCAAAAGGCAGCCGATCACACCTCAGCGGCCCGGCAAGACACCACCAGCGTCCAAGACCGAGGCCCGAGATGATGATGCAGGCGCCAAAGTTGAACGTTCGGGCGCTGTCAGAACGACTTTGCGCCCACCTAGCTCGCCTTATATCGACTCGGCACAGCCCCTGACTCAAATTGAGAGAGCTGCTGCTGACCGCGCCAGGCCGTGGCCCGGTATAATCGCATCTATCAGAGCTTTCTTCCGAGGGCCCGACGAAGATCAAGTCAATAGTAACCCAAACGACGGTCACGAGGGCCCAATTACCGTGGCGCCATGCGTCCCGCGAATTGTTGCGCGCTCTGATCAGAGTGCCCGGTCTACACGCGACAACGCAGCAGCGGACGTGGACAGCACAGTGGACGAAGCGACAGTTGGTGCTCCATCGCCATGTTCTGGCGCGACGTCAACCCCTGGAAGGCTGATGGAGAACCACGGTTTGCGTAGAATGAGCTCGCTTACGAGGGGTAATGTGCCAGGTCGTCTTCCTCCCCGAGCGATTTTCTCCCCTACTAATTGTGACACAGCCGTAGTCATAGAAACCCCTGGCGATCAAACGGACGATATCAGCTCTCCGCCGACAGAAGCAGCCAGAAGCAAACATGTAGTGGGCGCAGACAGCGAAGATGCGTCTATTAACGCACACGACCTCCTCATCTTCGACAAGATTGTTGGTCATCGTCGAGACCCCCAGACCCAGATGATATCTCACATGCGCGTGCGCTGGAGAAACGGCGCTCTGACATGGGAACCGGAAGCGAGTATACAAAAATGTGCTGGTCAACATCTGCTGTCCTATTGGGACTGTGTGAATGGCACACGGGAGGGCGCCATGGCGGAGAGCTCGCGGCGCATTCCAGAGATTGAGAAGCACATGACAACGACCGCAAGCATCGTGACCCTGGATTTGTGTTGGATCGCGTCACTTGAGCGGCCACGGGAGCCTGGAAGGGATGTGCCATACAGCGAGCGGGCAACTTTAGGAAGTTCTGCGGTTGGCGAGGGTGGACGCGAAAGGGCAACGATACCGGTCGTTCGGCGGTCGAAGAGGCATAGTCGACAAAGCTTGAACGCGATAGCGGGTCCGGATACGGTAGCCACCGCACAGATGAACACAGTAGGACCAGCCCGGCGACAGGTACGGAAGAGGGACAGCCATGGTCAGCGGAGAGTTGATAGGATAGCAGACAAGTTGGCGCCGGCAGTTGTAAGATCGAACAGGAGGATTTCGACGACCGAGCTGATGGCACACAAAAGCCGGCGGCCAGCGGACGACGCTACTAAGCCGTCAAGCAAGCGCGCTCGTTTATTCTGATGCCGGAGGTTCCGTCCTGCCACACGCCCGCTGGCGGAATCTGATGCCTGATGCCCGACTTCACGTGAATCCACAGGCAATAGAAGCATGCTAAAACCCCGCCCTAAAGCAATGCCGGTTTTGTTGCGTATCTTGTGGCAGATTTTGTAGCAAGCTTTCACCCACGGTGATAAATCTAGAATCTTGGTTGTTCATTGACGTTATCAGATCTATATATAACGGTAAAAGGAGAAAGAGATCAAAAACCCCCCTTCCCTCACCTGATCTTCTTCTTTCCCTCACCCCCGTGAAGGTTTGGCTGTCACCCACGAACTCGACTCTGATTGCACCGCAAAACCCTTGGGTAACGACCTTACTGCCAACCTATCTTTGACCTTGAGAGCCATGATGACCCTTGGGCGCCAGAATTAAATCGAAATATGGGCTTATAGGAAAAATATTCCCCTTCCGAATGTCGTTGATGTCACTGTCAGACATTCGTGCCAATATTGCGGACTCCCAAGGAACAGAAGCCAAGAAGTTGACCTCCGTCTGGCCCTTCGCCGCATGCGAGTTGCAGTGCTTGTAAAGGAGGCGGAACAGTTCAAATGTGTTTTCGCGACGTGAAAGCAACATCACGAGCTCCTGGTGCGTCCGGAACGTTGTATCCCGTATGATACCTTCAAGAGAGTGTGGCTGTAACTTTGCCCCGCACTTCAGGAGCAATGCTACCGTCTTGCGCGCCGAGTGGTTTTCCAATAACAACCAACTTAAGGCCGTCTGACCGTACTTATCCTGGATGTTCACATCGGCGCCTCGAATGGCAAGCAGACGTTTTGTCGCCGAATGCGATGTTAATGCCATCTCAAGAAGGAGCGGCCGTTTATCAACATCAACGTCTGTTGCCCGCACCATGCCGTTCGGATTGGCCCCATGTCGAATCAGCCTCCGAATCAAGACGGCTCTGTCAGAGCTGGACCTCCCCGGAAGAGACGCCGTGAGAGCCAGAAGAGCCAAGCGAAGGAGATGTTGCAGGTCATGTCTTACTTTATGTTCAAGGAAACATGTGGCAAGGCGAAACAGGCCCTTTCGGCAACAGTGTTCCAAGAGGAGCTCCGGCTGGTTTTCGGGGACTGTCTTCCCATCGACATCGGTCTGTTGTTGAAGGAGTAGTTGGATGGTTGAACTACGTGTAAGCGGGCACTGTACCGCGTAGAACAGCGGGGTGCGGCCACGCACGTCTTTCGAGACCACCTCCCTGGAGTTTCCTTGAGGATCTGCTTGACAACAGCGTCAAGACCGGTGGCGGAGGCAATATGGAGAGGCGTAAGTTGACTACCAATGATGGCCGACCTCTTGTCAACTTTTCCAGATACGTCGTGATATCTGGAGCAAGCAATTTCTCCAAGTCCCATTTCGTTGCACTCGTCATGCCTAGAAGAGACGCGACGAGTTTCTCTCGCCGCTTGAGAACGGCGGCGGCAAATGGAGACAGACTAGCAGGAGACTGATGCAGAATCCGTCGAAATTTTGATGCAAACCGCCATGAGAACATGTCGGTCACCGCGATGTCGAACTGCGGGCCCAAACATCCATCCCGGCATACACCGATGCCTCGACTACGCGAAATGCCACGGCGTCATCACAGCAGTGGAGAACTGCCCATCGAGCAGCAGAACAGCGTTCTGAAAGAACATTGTGCCGATAAATCCGTGGTTCGAAGGCTTGCCGAAACTTCTGGGAGCACTGCAAGACGCGTATCCGCGTTGGACGGTCACAATCGTCAAAGATGATGTCAACAAGCTCGGGGGTAGTCTGTCCAGCATGGTCGTGTGACTCTGGTATGATGTCTAAGGAGAAAGCGAGAGAAGGTATGATGCCGAGACCTCGAGACGACTCTGGTTGCAGCTGGTCAGGTCCTACTTATACAGGTCGATCGCTCTACAACACACGTGATAAGTCGGGACCGCGAGCCATAGGAAGACAATACGATGCAGGTCCACTCCGTGTTCAGTTGCGAGATGGAACTATTAGAGACCTCATACCAAGGCCATCGAAGATTAGCAACATCTTGTGTCTACGGTACCTATGAGGCCCAATGCCAGCACATTCGCTGCGTTCATTCTCTTCGCCTTGTGCCCGGACGACGCTATACACTCAACAGACTAAATCTTGCCCCTATATCCCTCTATCACTTCCCACTCGCGTCCCCATTTGGTCGTGCGATCGCACGACAAAGATCCCCGCTCTCAATAACGCAACAGAGTGTGTGTCCTGTGTACAGTACAAGTAACTAAAAGTTGACAAGATTGGTCATGTCTCCTAGATCCACACCGTCCGCGTCCAAGTGTTCTGGCGTAGGAAACGCCTGAAACGACTCGATTAATTTGTAGAAGCTCTCCACTTTGACGCCCAACTTCTCAACGCTTTACACATGCCAGACATTAGCACGCACCGCCAATAGTATCGTTCTCAAATGAACTCACCGCTCTGTGAGGACTCCTAAGGTTGACTCGAATGATTTGTAGAAAGCCTCATCTCTGGCAGACAAACGATCAAGTCTGGAATTGCGCGATATATTAGCATACATTGCCAGTGACCATGTCCTAGCGATTGGACATACCGATCCGTGGTGTCGGAGAGAAACTGCTGCAGGGTACTGAAGTTTTCGGAAAGGTAGGCACTATGCAGGCGTTAGGTGATGCCGGGCAGTTCTCACACGAGAGAGCTCTTGGTAACGGACATACTCCAGCTCAACGTTCTGTTCTTGCATGGGTGAGGTGTTCTGGGGGTTCTCTTGGGGTCTTGTTCTATGAATGAATAGTTAGCATGATAGGTTACATGGAGCATTTGGGAACGATCCCATTCTCTTACGTTGAAGAATCCCGATGCAAGTGAGGTCTGACTGAGCCGCCTTGGAGGCCGTCTCTACCCTGGACCGCGGCCGTCGTCGGAGGCTGTCTTGGCATCCTCACCTCCCCGACGGCAGCCTGCTGATGGCTATCGTGGCCGCCATTGCCACCATTTTGAACCGCACGCGGGTTACGGTTCAGGAAGAAAAACCGACGCTGCTGTGCTAAACGGAGTCCTCTTGACGGAGGCCCATTCGATGGTTGTTGATACATCGTCGACGCCGAACGCGGTATGAGGGCAGTGAAGGAGGACGGACAGACCAGAAACGAAAAGCAGCGCGGCTATGATGGGGAGCTCATTCTGCAAATCAACCGCAGTCGCTGATCGGGGACGTACTAAGTAGTTGTTGCAGCTCAACTAATCATGGTTTTTGCTGTTGCGGTCGCAAGTCAAGCGGTCCTCAGAATGGAAGCTGATTGAGGCGCAAGGCGTTGGATGCGCTCTGATCCAGAACTGAAGCTGGCGTTTCCCGCGTCGCTAATCCGCGCCAGCGTCCAGTTGGTAATTTCTTGTCCCGCAGGTACGTACCGCCGCGTCTAGATCTCATGTTCAGCCTAGCTAGAATGCCACGGAGTCTAGACCGACGATTCGCAGCGGTATCTCCACTTCCCTGGAGCATCGGAGACGTTTCTTGCCAACAACGAGGTGGAGCAATACCCATAACCTGCAGGGATCGCCACGCATCTCGCCTCCAAGCCAAAATCGTCCACGAGCAAGGGTTCACGAGCAAGGGTTCACGAGCAAGGGGACCACGACAACGAATCGGTCACAAATTGGACGCACTATATAGCGCTGCTGCCGAAAGCTCAAATCATCCCGTTATCGCTATTCTGGAACCATGTCGAGATAAAGATGGGGCTCCAGAGTTGGAGGTTGCTTTGCGAAGCCTATTTGATTCCCTCAGGGGACGCCACGGTGTTCATCCGTTCCTGGCGTAAGCCATTTCTGGAGTAATCAACTCGGATCCCCTGCCAGTACTACAGGCGAGGCCCAGTATGACCATACTGTCAAGCGAGTCCGTGCGCCCAGAGATCCAAAAGACCTTGTTCCAACAGGACATGTTTTTTGCACATAGCTGTACTGTACTGGACCACCAAGCAGTCATATTCGTTCCAGATTAGATTCAATGATGTTTTTGATCATCCAGCGATGGAATTTATGACGAGGTACCGTGGTGGTGGCTTTGTGTCGCAACAACGAAGAGCAGCCGCAAACAACTCCGGCTGCAAAATACCGGCATAGACCGCCATCTCTCGATTTTGCTCGCGCATTCAAAAGGACTTGCATCCGATGAGGCATTCCTATTACGAAGGACCAAATGGTAAGCCCTCAACATGCCTGACGTCTCGCCAAGCCAGTACAAGTTCGAACAACACCGCAGCACAAAAGAAGCAATGCTCGAGGCACGGACCAAGCGGCAAGCACTGAGAACGCCAGAATACTAAGCCCAAGTCGCCAAGGCCGAAGGCAATCTTCAATTGATCAACATGATTCTGATGAGCTTCTCGGCTGAGCAGAACGCCCATATTGATCAGCGGGTGAATCTCAGCCAGCATCAGCATAGGACGCAAGAGGCTCTACAACGGTGATCTACGACATGACATAGGAAGAGCTTAGCCAGATCTCTGGCCTCTCGGCCAATCGCTTAGAGCAAGATATGTACTGTACGCTTTAGTCCTCAATCTTGGCTCGGAATGTGTGTAAGGAAGGTTGCTGGAGTGCTTCAGTGCAAAGACAGAATGACCTGTCTGCGACGAGACAGGGCTAGTACAGGGCCAGTGTGATCTCCATATTCGACCGTAATTAGAGATGTCAGATCTGAGAGAGTAGATTGACCTATGTTGCGGGTGATTGGAAGTATTTCTGGAGGTTTGGTATAGTTGTAGATTACTACGCTGAGTGGTCTCAAGTCGGCTACGTACAGTATGTAGTGGCACAACACAGAGACTAGTACAGTACAGTACCGATCACGCCTTGAAGTTCTCAGTATGCTGTCACTTGATTTCTCCGTGCAAAAATGACCGAGATACTTTGTGAACGGACTTCTGCGGCACAATTGGAGACGTGTCATAGCTTGATTGTTGTGGAGGCCGTTGCTTATTTCTGCCCCGTTCTTCGGAGTCTTCTCCTTGTGTAGGGCAAGCCGGACCGATGTTCCATTGTACAAGGCTCACCGATCTACAGTAGAAGTCGAATTCAGTTTCCGTCTTTGCGGATAGGAATTATTCTGCGCACAAACATATGTGGTTCTTTTTGCTGACGGGATACATACCGGGGCTCATCAAGTACATTCATCAATGGCCTACACCGTAAAGTCAGAATCGCTTCTTTACTGTGTTCTCGGTTTAGACCCATGTTGCATTAGCTAACGTCCACAAACGGCGATGGCAAATGCAGTCTCAAGTACGCAACATGGGTCTAAACCGAGAACACAGTAAAGAAGCGATTCTGACTTTACGGTGTAGGCCATTGATGAATGTACTTGATGAGCCCCGGTATGTATCCCGTCAGCAAAAAGAACCACATATGTTTGTGCGCAGAATAATTCCTATCCGCAAAGACGGAAACTGAATTCGACTTCTACTGTAGATCGGTGAGCCTTGTACAATGGAACATCGGTCGGCTTGCCCTACACAAGGAGAAGACTCCGAAGAACGGGGCAGAAATAAGCAACGGCCTCCACAACAATCAAGCTATGACACGTCTCCAAATTGTGCCGCAGAAGTCCGTTCACAAAGTATCTCGGTCACTTTTGCACGGAGAAATCAAGTGACAGCATACTGAGAACTTCAAGGCGTGATCGGTACTGTACTGTACTAGTCTCTGTGTTGTGCCACTACATACTGTACGTAGCCGACGTGAGACCACTCAGCGTAGTAATCTACAACTATATCAAACCTCCAAAAATACTTCCAATCACCCGCAACATAGGTTAATCTACTCTCTCAGATCTGACATCTCTAATTACGGTCGAATATGGAGATCACACTGGCCCTGTACTAGCCCTGTCTCGTCGCAGACAGGTCATTCTGTCTTTGCACTGAAGCACTCCAGCAACCTTCCTTACACACATTCCGAGCCAAGATTGAGGACTAAAGCGTACAGTACATATCTTGCTCTAAGCGATTGGCCGAGAGGCCAGAGATCTGGCTAAGCTCTTCCTATGTCATGTCGTAGATCACCGTTCGTAGAGCCTCTTGCGTCCTATGCTGATGCTGGCTGAGATTCACCCGCTGATCAATATGGGCGTTCTGCTCAGCCGAGAAGCTCATCAGAATCATGTTGATCAATTGAAGATTGCCTTCGGCCTTGGCGACTTGGGCTTAGTATTCTGGCGTTCTCAGTGCTTGCCGCTTGGTCCGTGCCTCGAGCATTGCTTCTTTTGTGCTGCGGTGTTGTTCGAACTTGTACTGGCTTGGCGAGACGTCAGGCATGTTGAGGGCTTACCATTTGGTCCTTCGTAATAGGAATGCCTCATCGGATGCAAGTCCTTTTGAATGCGCGAGCAAAATCGAGAGATGGCGGTCTATGCCGGTATTTAGCAGCCGGAGTTGTTTGCGGCTGCTCTTCGTTGTTGCGACACAAAGCCACCACCACGGTACCTCGTCATAAATTCCATCGCTGGATGATCAAAAACATCATTGAATCTAATCTGGAACGAATATGACTGCTTGGTGGTCCAGTACAGTACAGCTATGTGCAAAAAACATGTCCTGTTGGAACAAGGTCTTTTGGATCTCTGGGCGCACGGACTCGCCTTGACAGTATGGTCATACTGGGCCTCGCCTGTAGTACTGGCAGGGGATCCGAGTTGATTACTCCAGAAATGGCTTACGCCAGGAACGGATGAACACCGTGGCGTCCCCTGAGAGAATCAAATAGGCTTCGCAAAGCAACCTCCAACTCTGGAGCCCCATCTTTATCTCGACATGGTTCCAGAATAGCGATAACGGGATGATTTGAGCTTTCGGCAGCAGCGCTATATAGTGCGTCCAATTTGTGACCGATTCGTCGTCGTGGTCCCCTTGTTCGTGAACCCTTGCTCGTGAACCCTTGCTCGTGAACCCTTGCTCGTGGACGATTTTGGCTTGGAGGCGAGATGCGTGGCGATCCCTGCAGGTTATGGGTATTGCTCCACCTCGTTGTTGGCAAGAAACGTCTCCGATGCTCCAGGGAGGTGGAGATACCGCTGCGAATCGTCGGTCTAGACTCCGTGGCATCCTAGCTAGGCTGAACATGAGATCTAGACGCGGCGGTACGTACCTGCGGGACAAGAAATTACCAACTGGACGCTGGCGCGGATTAGCGACGCGGGAAACGCCAGCTTCAGTTCTGGATCAGAGCGCATCCAACGCCTTGCGCCTCAATCAGCTTCCATTCTGAGGACCGCTTGACTTGCGACCGCAACAGCAAAAACCATGATGAGTTGAGCTGCAACAACTACTTAGTACGTCCCCGATCAGCGACTGCGGTTGATTTGCAGAATGAGCTCCCCATCATAGCCGCGCTGCTTTTCGTTTCTGGTCTGTCCGTCCTCCTTCACTGCCTCATACCGCGTTCGGCGTCGACGATGTATCAACAACCATCGAATGGGCCTCCGTCAAGAGGACTCCGTTTAGCACAGCAGCGTCGGTTTTTCTTCCTGAACCGTAACCCGCGTGCGGTTCAAAATGGTGGCAATGGCGGCCACGATAGCCATCAGCAGGCTGCCGTCGGGGAGGTGAGGATACCAAGACAGCCTCCGACGACGGCCGCGGTCCAGGGTAGAGACGGCCTCCAAGGCGGCTCAGTCAGACCTCACTTGCATCAGGATTCTTCAACGTAAGAGAATGGGATCGTTCCCAAACGCTCCATGTAACCTATCATGCTAACTATTCATTCATAGAACGAGACCCCAAGAGAACCCCCAGAACACCACACCCATGCAAGAACAGAACGTTGAGCTGGAGTATGTCCGTTGCCAAGAGCTCTCTCGTGTGAGAACTGCCCGGCATCACCTAACGCCTGCATAGTGCCTACCTCTCCGAAAACTTCAGTACCCTGCAGCAGTTTCTCTCCGACACCACGGATCGGTATGTCCAATCGCTAGGACATGGTCACTGGCAATGTATGCTAACATATCGCGCAATTCCAGACTTGATCGTTTGTCTGCCAGAGATGAGGCTTTCTACAAATCATTCGAGTCAACCTTAGGAGTCCTCACAGAGCGGTGAGTTCATTTGAGAACGTATACTATTGGCGGTGCGTGCTAATGTCTGGCATGTGTAAAGCGTTGAGAAGTTGGGCGTCAAAGTGGAGGGCTTCTACAAATTAATCGAGTCGTTTCAGGCGTTTCCTGCGCCAGAACACTTGGACGCGGACGGTGTGGATCTAGGAGACATGACCAATCTTGTCAACTTTTAGTTACTTGTACTTTACACAGGACACACACTCTGTTGAGTTATTGAGAGCGGTGATCTTTGTCGTGCGATCGCACGACCAAATGGGGACGCGAGCGGGAAGTGATAGAGGGATATAGGGGCGAGATTTAGTCTGTTGAGTGTATAGCATCGTCCGGGCACAAGGCGAAGAGAATGAACGCAGCGAATGTGCTGGCATTGGGCCTCATAGGTGCCGTAGACACAAGATGTTGCTAATCTTCGATGGCCTTGGTATGAGGTCTCCAATAGTTCCATCTCGCAACTGAACACGGAGTGGACCTGCATCGTATTGTCTTCCTATGGCTCGGCGGTCCCGACTTATCACGTGTGTTGTAGAGCGATCGACCTGTATAAGTAGGACCTGACCAGCTGCAACCAGAGTCGTCTCGAGGTCTCGGCATCATACCTTCTCTCGCTTTCTCCTGAGACATCATACCAGAGTCACACGACCATGCTGGACAGACTACCCCCCGAGCTTGTTGACATCATCTTTGACGATTGTGACAGTCCAACGCGGATACGCGTCTTGCAGTGCTCCCAGAAGTTTCGGCAAGCCTTCGAACCACGGATTTATCGGCATAATGTTCTTTCAGAACGCTGTTCTGCTGCTCGATGGGCAGTTCTCCACTGCTCTGATGACGCCGTGGCATTTCGCGTAGTCGAGGCATCGGTGCATGCCGGGATGGATGTTTGGGTCCCGCAGTTCGACATCGCGGTGACCGACATGTTCTCATGGCGGTTTGCATCAAAATTTCGACGGATTCTGCACCAGTCTCCTGCTAGTCTGTCTCCATTTGCCGCCGCCGTTCTCAAGCGGCGAGAGAAACTCGTCGCGTCTCTTCTGGGCATGACGAGTGCAACGAAATGGGACTTGGGGAAATTGCTTGCTCCAGATATCACGACGTATCTGGAAAAGTTGACAAGAGGTCGGCCACCATTGGGTAGTCAACTTACGCCTCTCCATATTGCCTCCGCCACCGGTCTTGACGCTGTTGTCAAGCAGATCCTCAAGGAAACTCCAGCGGAGGTGGTCTCGAAAGACGTGCGTGGCCGCACCCCGCTGTTCTACGCGGTACAGTGCCCGCTTACACGTAGTTTAACCATCCAACTACTCCTTCAACAACAGACCGATGTCGATGGGAAGACAGTCCCCGAAAACCAGCCGGAGCTCCTCTTGGAACACTGTTGCCGAAAGGGCCTGTTTCGCCTTGCCACATGTTTTCTTGAACATAAAGTAAGACATGACCTACAACATCTCCTTCGCTTGGCTCTTCTAGCTCTCACGGCGTCTCTTCCGGGGAGGTCCAGCTCTGACAGAGCCGTCTTGATTCGGAGGCTGATTCGACATGGGGCCAATCCGAACGGCATGGTGCGGGCAACAGACGTTGATGTTGATAAACGGCCGCTCCTTCTTGAGATGGCATTAACATCGCATTCGGCGACAAAACGTCTGCTTGCCATTCGAGGCGCCGATGTGAACATCCAGGATAAGTACGGTCACACGGCCTTAAGTTGGTTGTTATTGGAAAACCACTCGGCGCGCAAGACGGTAGCATTGCTCCTGAAGTGCGGGGCAAAGTTACAGCCACACTCCCTTGAAGGTATCATACGGGATACAACGTTCCGGACGCACCAGGAGCTCGTGACGTTGCTTTCACGTCGCGAAAACACATTCGAACTGTTCCGCCTCCTTTACAAGCACTGCAACTCGCATTCGGCGAAGGGCCAGACGGAGGTCAACTTCTTGGCTTCAGTTCCTTGGGAGTCCGCAATATTGGCACGAATGTCTGACAGTGACATCAACGACATTCGGAAGGGAAACGTCTTTCCTATAAGCCCATATTTCGATTTAATTCTGGCGCCCAAGGGTCATCATGGCTCTCAAGGTCAAAGACAGCAAGATATAGCTTGGTAGTAAGGTCGTTACCCAAGGGTTTTGCGGTGCAATCAGAGTCGGGTTCGTGGGTGACAGCCAAACCTTCACGGGGGTGAGGGAAAGAAAAAAGTCAGGTGGGGGAAGGGGGGGTTTTGATCTCTTTCCCCTTTTGCCGTTATATATAGATCTGATAACGTCAATGAACAACCAAGATTCTAGATTCATCGCCGTGGGTGAGAGCATGCTATAAAATCTGCCATAAGACACGCAAGAAAACCGGCATTACTTTAGGGCGGGGCTTTAGCACTGCTTCTAATGCCTGTGGATTCACGTGAAGTCGGGCATCAGGCATCAGAATAAACGAGCGCGCTTGCTTGACGGCTTAGTAGCGTCGTCCGCCAGCCGCCGGCTTTTGTGTGCCATCAGCTCGGTCGTCGAAAGCCTCCTGTTCGATCTTACAACTGCCGGCGCCAACTTATCTGCTATCCCATCAACTCTCCGCTGACCATGGCTGTCCCTCTTCCGTACCTGTCGTCGAGCTGGTCCTACTGCGTTCGTCTGTGCGGTGGCTACCGTATCCGGACCCGCTATCGCCTTCAAGCTTTGTCGACTATGCCTCTTCGACCGCCGAACGACCGGTATCGTTGCCCTTTCGCGTCCACCCTCGCCAACCGCAGAACTTCCTAAAGTTGCCCGCTCGCTGTATGGCACATCAGTTTCAGGCTCCCGTGGCCGCTCAAGTGACGCGACCCAACACAAATCCAGGGTCACGATGCTTGCGGTCGTTGTCATGTGCTTCTCAATCTCTGGAATGCGCCGCGAGCTCTCCGCCATGGCGTCCTCCCGTGTGCCATTCACACAGTCCCAGTAGGACAGCAGATGTTGACCAGCACATTTTTGTATACTCGCTTCCGGTTCCCATGTCAGAGCGCCGTTTCTCCAGCGCACGCGCATGTGAGATATCATCTGGGTCTGGGGGTCTCGACGATGACCAATAATCTTGTCGAAGATGAGGAGGTCGTGTGCGTTAATAGACGCATCTTCGCTGTCTGCGCCCACTACATGTTTGCTTCCAGCTGCTTCTGTCGGCGGAGAGCTGATATCGCCCGTTTGATCGCCAGGGGCTTCTATGACTACGGCTGTGTCACAATTAGTAGGGGAGAAGATCGCTCGGGGAGGAAGACGATCGTAAGCGTGCTCATTCTACGCAAACCGTGGTTCCCCGTCAGCCTTCTCGCGTCGTCCGCTGTGCTGTCCACGTCCGCTGCTGCGTTGTCGCGTGCAGACCGGGCACTCCGATCAGAGCGCGCGACAATTCGCTGGACGCATGGCGCCACGGTAATTGGGCCCACGTGACCGTCATTTGGGTTACTATTGGCTTGATCTTCGTCGGGCCCTCGGAAGAAAGCTCTGATAGATGCGATTATACCAGGCCACGGCCTGGCGCGGTCAGCAGCAGCTCTCTCAATTTGAGTCAGGGGCTGTGCCGAGTCGATATAAGGCGAGCTAGGTGGGCGCAAAGTCGTTCTGACAGCGCCCCAACGTTCAACTTTGGCGCCTGCATCATCATCTCGGGCCTCGGTCTTGCACGCTTGCGGTGTCTTGTCGGGCCGCTGAGGTGTGATCGGCTGCATTTTGGACTCGGAGGGAAGGTTTGTTGCTCAACGGTGCTACGATTCACTCGCAATAGGTTGCCTGCTGGTAGACGTCGACTTCGTTTCTCGCTACCAGTCATTAGTTCAAGCGGACCGGAAGTTGCAGTTGCGAACCTGGAATGCCAACTACACATTGTAGAGCTTCACGGTGTCTCAGGGACAGTGACGTGAGGTGAAGGAGGCGGAGCACGTGATCGTCAAGTTGAAGAGCGCTTTCGGCTTTAGGGGTCACACAGATCCGATGGCCCTGCAAAGTCGTTGTGGCCAGCCAGTCGAGGCTCCTTCCCCGTCCACGGGCCACATGTGCGCAAGTCCCGACCTGGCTCCGATTGCACGGACCAATCAGCCACCCATCAGATCGGCTAGGCCTTTGAATCCGTTTGTTGCTCCCCAAGCCAGCCTGGATGCGAGACTAGACCTTACGAATCTCCACTTGTCCAACGTCGATCCGACCCAAAACGCAGAATGGCAGGGGCAACAGTACAATCGCACCTAGGATCGATTCCTGGCTTTTCGCCCTAACGTCATACTCTGTCGCAGAGCGGGTCGCAAAGCGAGGAAGTAAGTGGAGGATATACACGGTAGAAAGTGGCTTGTTTTCTTCTTAGTGGGAGACAAGGAGTCGTATCTAGATACCGTACGGGGCAGGTCTTATGGTAGGCGGTATCGTACGACAGGAATGGGCAGCGCCACGTGTGGCGAAGTGACACATTCCCACTTTTGTTCGTGAATTTCTGGTTGCTGACAAACGATGAGGGAACACAGGCCACGTAGCTCACAGTCGACGCTCTAGGCAGCATCAATGAGCTTGTAAAGTAGGAACTCCCATTTCGTCATGGTTTGGATTTGTAGAGAATTCCATGAGCGGACCGTTTCCCCACACAAGGGACTTCAGCGTCGACTAAACCGGAATTGAGGGTCGGCAGGCACGAGACAACGCGTGCTACAGTATGCCTTGCAGGAACGGCCGATTTGTCCGGTGCGTCGCACTGATGCAGACCCTCCGGACGAGCTTAACACGCCGGCGGATAAAGTGGAGGCTCTTGGAGTGGGCTACAGTGTACAGTAGGCCGTGGTCGAGATCGGCGCACTTTAACCAAAATATTTTCCCTTGCAGCTTCACCGTCGCCCGTTGCTGTTGCCGTGTCTCCTTGAATGGAAAAGACACGCTGCGATGTTCCGTGTGACTTGGTAACTGACCAGTCATTCGAGCCAAAATTTGCATGACCGCTTCTCTCCTATGCTGCCTAACGTTCATGAGGAGGGCCAAAAAATGTGGTGATCTTTCTTGACGCTGAGCGACCCTTTCGAGTCGTGTGCTTCGACTACATCAGCGATGCCCATGTGTGACATCGCATTGTCTCGACTGCAATCAGACAGCCTCTGCTGTTGAACCTGATGCGACGCTTGAGGGAGAGACAAGAGGCGGAGAGACAGGAGGCGGAGAGAATTGAGCGTTTCTATTAGGTTCTACACCCTCAATCTAGTGGACTGGAGAAAAAAGAGAGAAGAAAAAAAAAGGCGGCTGATGTGAGTCAGCGCAACTGTGCTTCGAGTACGTGCCGTCACACCCAGTCTGGGCCGACGCCACGGACAGGCGGCCAGTATTAGTGTCCCCGCGACCTTCTCCGCGGTACTAGACGAGCCGCGGCGCCAACAAACCTTTGGTCGCCCGTTCTGCCAGCGCTATCCACTTACAAACCTGCAGCGGCGACGGCAGGCAGCGCACCCTCGCTTTTTTGTGATCTATCTTGGCCGGACGCTTCTGCGGGTAGCTTGTATGCCCTCAACCAATACTGGGATTGCAGAAAGATTCCATAGTTGAGTGACTTCCACGGCCTTGTAGGGTCACACAACACCAAGTCAAATCTCCGCAGCAGCTGACTGAAGTGTCAGTGCGTCGTCTTCGCAAGAGCAGAACCACACGCCGGACACGCCGCAGCAACGTACCTCAACAAATATCTTCTGCAACTCCATCATCGCCACATTCCGTCCTAAACACTTCCATTTGCCGTGGCCAAACACAAGCTCGAGCGTTGCCTCCATCGATCGCAGGGTCTCCGCATCCGCCGTGAGCCATCGATCCGGTCGGAAGTCGTCGGCATCCTGTCCCCAAACGTCGCCTCGGCGGAAAATACCCCACGCTCCGTAACCGATGCGCGTTCCCTCCGGTAAGTACACGCCTTTAAAGGTGTCGCCGCCTTTGGGGACTTCCTTCGACATCTGTCCGACAACCGGAGGGAAGATACGCAAGCCTTCTTTGATGACAGCCTGCAGGTAAGTCATCTGTCGCGCCTCCGCTTCTTTTACGACAGGCCAAGACGGCCGGAAGCGCTCGATCTCTGCACGAAGTGTCGCGAGCACTCGTGGGTTGGTGATGAGGTGAAGCAGCGTAGCTCGGATGGCCGTGGCCGTCGTGTCCGATCCAGCGAGTCTGTCGGAAGGGTTAGTAGTGGCCTCAGAGTATAGGACCGAAGAGATCTCGGCAAGTCGTACATTTGCATGAGGATTTCCGAAGACGCCTCTTTTTGCGTCAGGCCGTGTGCTACGAAAGAGCCAAGCATGTCTTGCCTCGTCTTCTTGCTTGGCCCGAAGCGCTCGCCGGCGATTTCCTTCGCCATCCTGTCGCTGTGTCAGCTGTGCCGGACTTGCGAGAACGCAACAAAGACCGCACAAGTCGACGATTCAGCGGCCAAGCGCAGACCAGGTCCGAGATGGGACGCGAACAAGACGTACCGAATCAGCCTTCCGAACCCGGTGGCATCATTTTCCGAAGGCATCAGCCGCCGAAGCAGAGGCCACGATAACACATGGAGTAGAGAGGGCAGAACGGCCGCGACGACGATGTTCGGCATGCTTTGTTCCGTCGTGTGAATGTAGTCATAAACGTCCGAATCGGAAGCCAGATCGCCGAACGGCTTGCCGAATGCAAGATCTGAAATGACGTCGAGCGTGAAGTACTGCGCCTTCAGGCCGAAGTCGAACCTTTTATCTTGAGAAGCATACGTATCGATCATTGACATGAGTCGAAGGACGCTTTCGTCGATCTTGGCTTCAAGTTCGACTACTTCTTTGCCAGAATACTTTGTCGCGATCGTCAGCAGTCCATACAAATCGACCTGTGGCACACGAGAGAAGATGACCTACCCCTCCGGCCATCTGAGACCGGAGTCTGGTGTGCACTGCATCGTCTCTGGTAGACAGCACGTTGTCGTGTCTCGGATCCAGTCGCATCGCGTTGTACCAGTCTGAACGCGTGTACTTGGTGCGCACGCCGAGCATACGCTTCATGAGGTCCGGGTCGCTCGTCACAAGGTCGTTTGGACCGACGCGAACAAGAGATCCTGTGAGAGGAGTTAGCGAGCGTTGTGAACGACATTGGAAACAGTCGTAAGCACCGTATTTTGGCCGGCCTCGTAGAACTTCAGGTGCATGCTACCGCTATACACGGCACGTAGAAGCCACCAAGGGGAGAATCCAGCAGAGGGGGGCGGGGATGTGCCGTAGTCGGAGATACTGGTGAAGGAGGAGCGTGGCAGCATACAAGAGCGGACCCCACATAAAGATGGTCGTGAAGGGGTACCATTCCACATGGCGGAGTTCAGCTGCTTGCGCTGGCTGCGTGAGCCCTTGGTGGGTAGCGGTAGTCGACGGGAAGGCTTTGGCTGACGGATGGCAAGAGCAAGGACGGTAGCTCAGTGGTTGTTACTCCGTCTCTGATACCGGGAAGTCTACGGATAGGGCGGTCTGGGGAGACCTTAAATGATCTTTGAAAAGGCTGTATGCTGTAGACTTCGTGGAGCCCATAAACGTCTAGTGGAATGGTTGTAGGTCTTGGTGTCGTTGCACCTGCGATCATGGGCAGTTCTGGGTGTCCTTGCCCAAATCGACCCCCTTCATGGTGCAACTGATGTGAGTTCGACGAAGTACAACGCAACATTGCAAAATGTGGCTCTTTGCGCCACGGGGATGGTTTGGACTCTTTCGAATCCGAATACGGCCTAAACATCGAGCAGCGAAGTCAATGGGCTAGGACGCTGAACTCGGCAGCCATGTACCGGCCCCGTGTCACCACTTCTGGATCTTGCGCAAAGCGGTACAAGTATGAAAAGAAATCGCGCCAATGCCTGTCTGCCATCAGGCCGACGTAGGATCTCTCGTGTTCGTCTCGCCGTAACAATGGGCTGTAATCCATCGAGACCTCTCAATAGCTTACAAACAGACGTAGACCAGACCCTGCCCACGCACTATCCACTGACCGTAACTCGTCCGCCTCGATACTCATATAATGAGCATAACGAATCGTGTCGCCTGCTCCGGCCTTGGACTGTGCGAGGCGCAAAGTCCCGCAGCTTCCTGTTCGTTGTTCATGTCATCAATAACAGCTTGCTAGATAGGTCGCAAACGCTTGCCCAGATCAGGCTGCTGAGCCACTTGCAACAGCTCGCATACATTCATAAGCTTCAGGTTTTGGTCAAGTGTCTGGATTACTTGTCTGATACCGATGATGACCCATACGCGGCGGATGAGAAACAACTCTATCAGGGCATGCTAGCAGCGCGATCCAAGGCAGAAATGATCCGACTGTGGGACGACAGACCGCCGACGGCGACTTCTCCGAGCCCCGAAGAGATCGCAACTGCCGGGCATCGGATCAGCGCCGTCATCGACCAGGTTCGACGTAGTCGGGATGTAGGCGACGTAGATGTCAAACACCAAATAGAACCAGAGATCGTTGCGGCACTTTCTCGTTTTGCCAAGAGCTGGAGCCTGGACGACTTTATGATTACACACGAAAAGATCATGGGCGAGCCGCCGACGTTGAATGCGGCTGGCATATCGAAGCTGCAGGCCCAGTTCATACTGCAAGCCCAAGTCGCCCGTGCGAGCCTGACAAGTGACAACGGAGCGACGCCGACCATCTCCGTCAGCTTCTTGCCGGACGACGTCCCTAACGTAACCCTCATCAACATCAAAAAGCAGTGGAAGACACTATTCGTCCCGCTGGCGAAACGCGTCAAAGAGTCGGAAAAGTCCCTGCGTCAAGATCTCTACACGATGCAGCTAGTCTCTCTCGGGTCTGCGCATAGCAACGGCGGACAGCAGTGGAAAGAACTGGACAAGCTGGGGCAGGCCGGCATGGACATCATCGACCACCTCCACCTGGACGCGGTCCAGGTACTGCTGCGGGGCCCGGGCCCGCTCCTCGGCCAGAAACTGCTGCTGGGCTCTGTGGGTCCCGTCGCCGACCGAGCGAAGGCAAGACGAGAGTCGGAGGCGGGTCTGTACGGCACGGGAGGTTCTCAAGCGACCTACGAGGACATGGATGCGTGTGTTTGCCAGACGCAGGGCATGGCTCCGGGAGTTGAGTACGTGCAACTGAGTCAAGATGCGTAGTAAAGGGTGATTTACGGCGCCTATCAATGTCACATAGTATCCTTGGGTCTAGTTGATAATGCTTCTTCGGATGGAAGTGGCACTGCGACATGCGCCGTATTTGGATGATAAGGTCTGGTGAAGAGCGGGGCACGCTTGGGTCGGAGAGCTGAAAGCTAATGCAAGGTTTTTTTCCTGGCAGCCTCCTCAAGGAACCTGCATCACGACTGCCTTTACACCCGACTATTCCTTCGACCACTGCAAGGCAGCAGATTTGACTTGCATCAAACTGGCTAACGCTTTGTGGCGCCGGTCTATAACCTCACGCCTTGTTGGAAACGGCGAAAAGCTGCTTTGATGTTTCCACTGTTGTTGACTCCGTAAATCCAGATATGGATTTTGACTTTCATGTGTGGGTCGTCATCATTCTCGGTGGTATCCATGCAGGGGCCATGTCGTCTTTTACTGCCGATTGAGGCCAGAAAGGGCTCTGGGCCAGTCCAGTTTCTGCCTCCATCTCGACAGAGTGGAGAAAGATCGCCTTCGAGCGTGACATTTGGGTTGCTGATGTGGATATCGGAATGCGGCAGCCATGGCTCCACAATTGAAGACGGTCATATCGGCCGGAGCGTCTATTTCGACGCGTGCGAGGCACATCGCATACGCTGTTGCTTCAACATTTGTTGCTCTAGCTACTACTTGCTACACCAACTGGCTAGGCTATGAGTGCTCGAACAACATGTGCCAACGTAGCAAATTAATTGTGTCAGTAGAGGAAAGCCTGCATGCCGTTTGGCAACCTATGCCCGTATAACTATGGCTCTCGCCATGTCTCAAAGTCTCAAACCTCTTGAGAATGAGGACCAAGAATCGCATCAGACCGTCATCACACATGCCATAGAATCGCATCATCGCCTCATACACACAACTATTTCGAGCATCGACGCTCTTTGACACCTAACAATGTCACTCAATTTGTCCTGGCCAACCGCGACCATGCGCGCAGTTGTTTACCATGGCACGCCTTTCGAAATGATGGTTCAAGATGTCGCCAAGCCAGCCATCTTGAACGAGACGGATGTCGTTGTGCGGGTGACCACCGCGGCCGTATGCGGGTCCGACCTGCACATCTATCGCGGCTACATGGGCGGTGCGGTGCCATGGACAATGGGCCACGAGGCCGTCGGCTACATCTCGGAGATCGGCGGTGCCGTGTCCTCCTTCGCGGTCGGGGACTATGTCATCATTCCCGACACCGTGTCTGAGGATCATCTGGAGATGGAGCCGAGGCCGAAGGAATACTTTGGTTTCGGGAATAGTGAGATGGGTCTGGGCGGTCTGCAAGGTACGAATATGCCTGCTCGATTTGCATCCTGGGCATGCCAGAGAGAGGATTGCTGACAAGAGGCTGCGTAGCCGAATACGCGAGGATTCCTTTCGCTGAAGCTAACCTGATCCCTATCCCATTGACTCATGAAACCGCCAACTCGACAATCGAGCGCGACTACCTGACCGTTTCGGACATCTTCGCTACGGGATGGGCCGGCATCGACTACACCGGATTCGAACCCGGCGATGCCGTCGCCGTTTTCGGGGCGGGTCCCGTTGGGCTGCTTTCTGCCTACTCGGCCATTCTGCGTGGAGCGTCCAAGGTCTACGTCGTCGACCATGTGAAAGAGCGCCTTGCTCTCGCCGCTGCCATCGGCGCCATCCCGATCAACTTTGCTGACGAAGACCCCGTCGCCCAGATTCTGGCTCGCGAACCGGACGGGGTCATGCGCACTGTAGACTGTGTTGGCATGGAGGCGTTGAACTCGAGCCTCGAGATGGACGAGAGCATTATCACACGACAGATGATTGACGTGGCGCATCTCAAAGGAGGCATGGGCCAACTGGGCGTGTATAGTTCACAGGACGATTCGCCTGGCGCACCGTACGACAGTGACATTTCGCCCACGATTCCCTTCCCCGTCTCGTCCTTCTTCGCCAAGGGCCTGAGTTTCCGAACAGGAGCCGTTGATCCGAAGCAGTACGCTCCGCAGTTGATCGACCTTATCAACAGCGGCAAAGCCCATCCAAGCTTTGTGATCAGCGCAGTCATTGGCATCGAGGACGCGCCAGAGTACTACAAACGCTTCAATGGAAAGAAGGAAACCAAGGTAGCCATCCGCTTTCCGGAGTAGGACGGCTTAATTGCACGAGGCTTTCGGTGTGTATGTAGAGGAAACTGCGGCAGTTCAAGTAATACATACGAATTCCTCCCCGTATCCCGGCCCGGAGTCCTGAAATCATGTCTCAATACACCAAAAGCATACATGTTGCAACGGTCTGCAGGGCATTCTCCTGGCGTTCCGGAGGTTCGCTCGAATCCCGCTTAGACATTAACATGTATATCTCGAAGCCTTTTTCTTTGGACCTGGACGACTTCGCGAGCTGAAAGGCCAGTTCGACGGTGTCAGATCAAGATGCTTTGCACCTGGCCTCGCCGGCGAGGTGGTACAGCAGGCAAGCGCGTTTGCATCCATACAGATGCATCCGACAGTTAAATTGGGCCGTTTCGACATTGTGCGCAGAATGTATTGAGCACTGCTTTTGGAGCCAAAGAGTAAGCAGGCATGATCTGCTGAATGAGGGACGAAGTAGAGAATGAATGTCGCAGGATAGATCGCGTGACGGAGCGAGGGAGCAATGGCGGATATTCTGGGAGTGAATTTTCCCGCTAAGCCTAACACCCACAGTCTGCCCCACGGCTTGACCAGCCGAATGCGCCTCAGAGGCTGTGAGAGTTGGCTGACAATCCTATTTGCATAAGCCTGCAAAGGTGGACTGGCTGAGTATCATCAGCCGCCGGATGACAAGTCGTTGTGTGCTGGCGTTTGCGAGGGTGTACAGGGTCTCTACGCTGAACTTGCTCTGCCTTGACCAGGGGACCGAATCCACTGCCAAATGGACTGGGGTCCTGCCTTGTATTGCTCAAGTTCAGAGAGCGCTCTGCGAGCCAGGCGTCGCAGCTACTGCATGTACAGACCCTGGCCGGAAAGTATATAAATGCGTGTCGGCAGCCTGCAGTCTTTTGCACACTCTTGTCTTATTATCTACCGCGAAGTTTCTGCTCAATTCAAGCACCTTTTGTTTGCGAGATCAAAGCACGCAATGTCTCATCTTCTTCCTTTTCTCCGTGGCAATGGCGAAGTATCCCATCGGGATGGTAGTACCAGAACCGCCTTGACGGCCACGCTCACAGACGGTACTGGCACCTATGGAATCTACACCCCCAGCCTCACCCACGACAGTACGTTGCCTGAGCTTGTTGGGACACCGTCAGCACCGGAGCCCACGGTCTTATTGCGCGAAATCCAACAGGCTGCCGAAGACATATCACAGCTCGTTGGACGATTTGGGTTCAAGATGGCAAAAACGCTCACGACTCCTTTTATCAAAGAGGCGCTTTTCGCGGATAAGAAAATGCTTCAACTACCGTGCCTAATGTACGCAGACGAATTCTCCTGTAATCACAAGGTTCTGTTCCAAACCAATCCACGACTCGACTTCGGCACCGCTGCTGTGGTGGCTCTGGAACGAGCTACTCGACTACCTGCCGCCGATAGGCGGCACGCGAGACTGCAGACTCGACTTCAAGCCCGCCTTCAGAACTGACATAGCCCTGCCCTATGCGATCATCATCGACATTTCGAGCAAAAACAACAACGACAACATTGAGCTTACTGCGTCGTATGGCGGGCTATTCGATGAGCGGCGCATCTTCGATGCGCCTATCACTCGGTTTGACTTTCCCAAGTCGGAAAGGTACGGCAGGCCGACCATGGCTAGCCTGGACATCGACCAAGACCCGTACGAAGGAAACGGCTGCATCGCTCACATTTTTGTGTACCTCGTGCCTCGTCTGGAGAGCAAATGGCGGCACGCCATGGAGGCTTTCCCTTCAGAGAAAGAGGAGGACCTGGTCATCGCTCTAGCTAAGACCCACAAAGCGGGAGACGACCGCTTCGCCATGTCGGAGAACCAACAACAGCAGTGCCAGAACCTGCTACAGCGCTTCCTGACCGACGCCAGGGACTACGTAGCCGAGAATGGGCTCGTAGGAATGGAGAAAGGACCGTACAGCGGGTCTGCATTTCAACCCCCAGGTCCGAAGGACTAGGATGTGAACGAGTGTCCGTCTACCAGTATTTCAGCAGCGCCATCGATCTCATCCTGCATTCGGGCTTTTCCCCCGTTCCGACATAACCTGAGTAGATAGGAAAAACCGATCACCTACGTCTCCAAGTATGGTTCTCTCGTCCGTATCTTTCAGCTAGCACTGCGAGTGGAGTCTATGCTATCAACATATCCGTCGTGGGCCGTTTTTATGCACAGCAGCAGTGCAAACGTTGCCAGTGAGCAAAAGAAGGAAATTCTGATTTTTATGTTTATTGTTAACACTACTATCAATAACGCTTCAAAGTGTTTTCCGTATGTAAATAGACTCAAGCGCACCTCATGAAAAGAGATAGCATCAGCAAGAATACATTCCGAATGGAACATAATCTCTACCAGGTTTGCGCAGCGGCAACAGATAGAGGCATTAATCCTATCAGTATTGCTTCGTCTTCTCTGACATCAGACCCGCTGATACACCGTATGTTCAAGCCCGCGTCTACCTTCTCCCATCGTTTCCTTGATGTGCTGAAACAAAGACAGATCTACCTCCAAAGATCGTAATCTCAAGCTTCGAGAAACAGATAATTGATGTTGATCATCTATGCCTTAGGAACCACCGACCTGGACAATTACGCGAAGAGTTTTTTAAGCGAGCCACTGAAGCTGTGTCGAAGCCTCGTATGTGGGAGCCTGTCAACCGGGTCATCATATCGCACTTACCGAGTGACACCACGAAACTACAGTGTACCTCGTATGTAGTTCGTTACTGTGCAACAGGGTTCAGTTGTGGTCACAGCCTTTGCAACGCATGCTTTTGCTGTCATGGTCTCCGCAAGTTGGCCTGGAGTTTCATTGTCGAGAAATGCCAATGTGTCAAGCTGTCGTGAACAGCTACCGGCGGGTGAAGCCACCGACAGCGGCTGCACACGTGCTCATTCTCTCTGGGGCACCAAGTGATAACACAGATAGTATACTTGAAGGACTACGCAGCCGTCTCTTTGGCCCACTAGAGGACTACTTCGACCTGGTAGTATCAAGCTCAACAGGTTAAAGTGATTAAAGGAGATCCAAACCACGATGGCAAAGATTGGATGGGGCTGTTGTTGTCGGGTTGCTTCTACGTCGAACAACTTGCAACTTCAACTGCTCTGAACCTCTCGGACGCTTTCGGCGTAGTTGTTCGGTGTCGTATCTCACCGAGTCCCCATCTTCTCAACCTCATGCTACGTTTCCAACAATGGCAAACGCCAATATTTTCTCGCGTAGGCCGAAATACCTGAAACAGGTCGCTTCTATGCGATGAAGAAACTTGGACCTCGATTAAGCATGGTTACGAGTATCAGAAGCGATTACCGATAGAGCTTCCTCCCTTTGGATCGGTATTACGTGTGCAAATCGAAACCACGCCGGCAGGTGGTGGCTGCTACGACATCAGCAACTCCCCATGCAGTACCAGTGATCTATTGCAAGCTGAAGAGGTGTTTGCTCGAGCATCGGGATAAGCCGTTCAAAAGATGAATTGCCGCAAGCTCTGCAAGCAGACCAAGGAGATGTGGCGAATGTTTATGAGAAGGAGGCCCTGCACAGGGAGATACAACAGTTTAAAACCCCTTTGGAAAGTTTCATTGGTAGATAGCTAGCTGAAAGCATTGAAATAACCAAGAAATCGAGCTTAATTGCTATTGCAAGTTCAGAACCATTGCTGCTGCACCAGACTTAGGTGCCTCCGGCTCATGGTCGCCACCAGTTGTTCTGACGTAATTTATAAGAATGTAGGTATCTACCTTCAGCTATTCGCTAGACTTATATATATATATATATATTAAAGTCCTCGACGAGAGATGTGTTCAAAGGGATTGGCTAACGCATCGGTCGCAGACCCAATCGAGTAGTGTCACTTGATCTGGCTGGGGGGTCGGTTTTCGGAGACTGTGAGCCAATGAATGTCGCTCTTTGCCCCGCCTGTACTTAGACATTCAACGTATCTCGCTGTCTTCTACGATGTTCGACTCAAAACCACAGACCATCCTTCAGAAGATGATAGCGACGACGACGAAACATTTCTTGACCGCCCTGACATCATTGTGGAGAAGCTGGAGGACATACTAGGCTTAAACGAAGACAAATTCGTCAAGTTTAGCGAAAGAGCACGCCAATTAGTAACGCGAACCCCTTCGAAACCTATTAAACGCTCGCAAATTTCCCTACCCGACGAGGAATCCATCCCTAATCTTCGTCGACAGAAACTTGAACCTGCGTCCGACTGACGTCAGAGATGAAAGACCACACATTCACGATACCCAAGGCCGCCAAAGCCCCAAGACCGCCTCTTCAGAAGGCTTGACCAATGCCCGTCTCGAATGGAGGACCCGCTCAACCCCTTCTTCGCAACGACCCCGACTACGCTGTTCTCAAGAACCCGAGCGTGTGTCTGTCGCACCTGGATCTCAAACCGAGGCACTGAAGTCTGAACCTGAGGCGACAGTTAGCCATAGCCAGACACATGCATTCACGAGCCCACAGGAGCCTTAGTTTTGACATACTGGCTCATGTCAATGGAGTCAGCATTACATCACTCGACAGGAAGCCGCCGCCGCCATCTTTCACCCCTGTGACCACCTCCCGAATCGGTCCAGCGCTGCCGTCGACGACGCGCGCCGGCGCCCAGTCTGCAGTTCGTCGACCGACCTAGACGGCCTCGCTGCAATCACCGACGTTTGTATGCCGATCTGACTCCACACGAATGCAGCCTCCTGCCAGAGGCGAGACAACAAACTGCCAGGCATCGAAGCCGGCACCGTAGCGACAGCTGCAATCAGCGAGTGCCGGTTCACTGGGTTCTTTCGGAGGTGGTAGCAATGGTGTTTATTGCGGTTGTGTTGGCCTGCGGCAGCCGCGACCGGAGCCTGAGAGACAACGAACGAGAGGGCCAGCAGATTGCCTTGATGTCGGTACTACGAGCTAACAGGCACCTCTACAACCGGGGTCTGCTTCCCTCCACAACTAGGTGGTCCGCTCTCAGGTTGAGGCAATCGTCAACACCGGCGCGATCTAGATGCTTCAGGTGTTGCAACTCTCGGGTATGGGCAGACCTGACGGCCTCTCCGGTGATTATCCCAATCTGCTCACTAAATCAACAAGTCGAGGACTGCATGAAAATGCACGGCGTTCGGGAGAAAAAGGCACACTAGGACAAGGGTGGTTATTTTAGGCTTTAGCGCTTTGTTTTGGCTAAGTTTTACGACTGGGTTCCTTCTCGCCCTTATGAGAAACCACATGATGAAAGCTGCTCACTCTCTCGTAATTAGGGATTCTGGCGGGCCGGTGGCTGAATATAGACATCGCTCTCGAAGCGCAGCGGTTTTGGGCCAGACGTTTTGCTCGAGGATGAGGGCGCCACGCACTATTATCATTATCGCAAGATATGTGGTGCTCAGGCAGCTATCGGCTTGTGTCCATAGCGCCATTGGCAAAGCACCTGCTGGCTCAAGCTTGACCGTTGGAAGGGCCGCAAGCGGCGCAGGAAATGGACAGTCGCACACCCCGCGTCCCCGGCCGACGCTTTGGTTGGTCAGCGTACGGCATAACGTGTCTTCAGACAAGGGATGAACCGGTAAAATAAGTGAGACACCCTTCTGGTTGGATGCAACACCCCGTCGCGCTGACGCTGCTTGACGGAACAAAGGGTTGTTGGTATGCGGCTCAGTTTGACGTTCAATGCAATCATTGTCCCAAGCAGCAACGGCTTATACCCGGTGTGTCCCGTTGTTCCATTTTATAGTACGACTATCCCATCGAGTGCTGCAAGGCGACAGTACATTGGTCTCCAACTTTTCTCCAAATCTATCGGGAACTGAAGTTTCTGATTCGCGGAGATAATGGGAATAAATCAAAAACACCGTTTCATTTGCTATTCCCCCGCACTCATATGTATTATCGCCTTGCAGCACTCTATGGGATATTATACCCATACACATTGATCCTTTTAACTATATCACATCTTCGTTTGCATTCGTCGCTGCGAAGCTCATTCGATACGTATTAAGCAAGTCTCAATAAAGGTTGCGGCTGGCTAATGACAAGCTGACGATGCATAATGTGCACCAACATAACCACCACGACCAAATATACAGGTTCTCCAGCAACGTGTAACATAACTAGCTCATTCCTAGCGAAGGGCGGACCCGCAATCAGTTCTGGGGCTTTCTGTATATGACGAATAGTATTGACGTGAATCGCAACACAATTGGCCCGCAGCTCCATACTTTCCCATATATTAGGTTTCATGTCGCGCCTCTCGTAACGTGCAAGCGCAAGAAGGGACATGGCAAGGGCTGTGCATATCGTCGTTTTCGCTCAGCCTAAAGAGCCCCAAGTGGCCACCGAGCTATCCAATCGGGTGCCAAGTGACCTCATTTTTTGCGAAGACACAAAATACCAATTTCTACCCCAAAAACGCCGATATATATAAGCATTATCTAGACGGCTCTACTCTGCCTTTGGCAAAAATGAGGTCAATTGACACCCGATAGAATATTTTGTGATGTGATAGGCTCCGTCTCTACGTAGTCAACTCTGTGGTGTTCGTTTAGATATACATAGTAGCGAAAAATGGATCAGTCTGGCTTAGTCTGCTTAGGCCAAAACAGCCAGTATCCATACCCCTGAAGAGAGCATACATTCCTGCTTTGGGGCCCTGGACCTACAGTAAGACTTGCAGCAACAGCTTTGGCTCCTTGGCAGTCTGTTCTTGAATCAGTTCAGGCTACCATTCAGCAGGCTACCTAGTAAGTCATGTTGTGCACCTCTTCCACAGCTGAACCAATCTTAGTCATCACGTCGCACCACTGATTATCTGGGTAGCAGGAAGCGGCAGAACACTTTTCCGAGACCGGGTTCTCACCTCTACCTGTGCTGACTAAAGACACCCCGGAGGACAAATGACTAGGGTGCCTCACTAAATGGGGCTGGAGAACCTCCTGCACAATTGCTCCCCTGACCACCATCACGGAAGAGTCGACGCGATCATGGCAACTATGAACGAGCCTCGATGGAGAGGCTCTTCGTCAAACATATATGAAATTGAGCCGGGAAAGGTTCTGAAAGTTCCAAGAGAGGTCCCAGTCACCAACGACGGTCACGATGCTCTCAATCGAGACAGGGCAAAAGGATTCGAAGTGGAACGAGGGATCTATGAAGCGCTTGGAGAGTACAAGCTGGTACTTCCGTATGTTTCTCCTCTAAAGTATGTCTTACTACCACTAACACATTATAGGTTTTACGGATGTCGCGAATTCGAAGGCAGCCAAGGATTGTTGCTAGCCAAAGCCGAAAGTAACTTACAGGAATATCTTGAGGGATTGGCGAAAGTCACCATGGCTGAACGAAAACGATGGTGCTGTCAAGCAGCAGATGTCATAGCATACATTCACGATCGTGGCGTCATGCACTCCGATCTACGGCCTGAAAATTTCCTGATTAATGGACGGGATATTTGGCTTAGCGACTTCAACGGTTCGGTGTGCAAGCAGCGTGGCCTGGATGGCGGGCAGCTGCCTGACGCTGGCTTCTGGAATTTGAAGTTAGAGACGACGCCAGCTACGGACATATTTGCCCTTGGCTCTGTGCTCTATGTCATATTGACCGGATGGTGGCCTTTTTGCAAGCCTGGTATTACGGACAGGCTGGACAGGAAAAACGTCAACCACTATGATGAACAAGTTATGAATAGGTTTGAGACAGGAGATTTCCCGGATGTTTCTTCTCTATGGGGAGGACATATCATCATGGGCTGTTGGACTGGCAAATACAAGAGCGCCGCCGATGTGAAACGGGATGTGTATTCAGCCATGTAATAGCAATGAGTGTGGATTAAGTTTGGGCTTCTATGAGTAATGACTGTGGTTCGTTGTGTACCTAAACGAGCGTATATACCAGCACTAGCGACACAATAAAGACTGGCCGTCGTGATTCCCTCTCGAAGACCTATACGGCCGTATTCTCTATAAGCAATGGCCATCAGGTCAATGGTATGAAGCTTACCTTTTGGTTAAACTCACGGGTTAATGCAACTGTAGCGGCCGCATTTCCCTTTCTGTCTGCTTGAACCCAGAGTGTTTATGGTGACAGTGTGGCCTGGCTCAGATTGCTTATCACAGGCCTTGAAGTTGGAGTCCTCCGTTATCCTGTCACCGCAAGTGTAGATTTTGGTTGATTGGTCTTTGGTACACATTGTGTTTGGTTGTGTTTGGTTGTATTAGGTGGTTTGATTATTGGCGTCGAAAAGCTGCAAGCTGGATTGATAGGTTTTTATATCTAAGAACTCAAAACGTATGGCGCCCAAATCTGACATACTCAAGGCAACGTTGGTGCCAGACAGAAGTGGCATCCAGATCGGGACTTTGATAGTAGAAGGTCGAAGTGCAGAAATCAGGCTGCCACATGTTATGGATCCATTCTGAACAGATCCGATAGGCGCTGAATTTTCAACGCTTGCCAGGGTCTTGAGGGCGGCGGGGTTCTCCTTACACCTGCAATTGGTAAACATAGATCCGATCGAGTGGGCAGGTTCCCATATGTGATAGGGAGTCATGCGGTTGTCCTCCGTGTTGGAGCCCTCTGTATCGATGCTGGTCACAAAAACGGCCACTGGTAAAAGAAGGCTAGGCTCTTAGTGGTCTGTGCCAACGGAGTTGGAGCAGGGAGACAAAGTTAGGGTCTCGATATGCATATCATCCCAAGGCCAGAAAAGCCGTTGATATCCATCCAGATCCAATGGCTCAATCTGAACCCCAGCTAGAAGGATGTATTACCTCGGATCTGGATCCATATACCACAAATCACGAATCCGTGGTTAACTGTAGATAGCATGCATTCATGCTTGCAGGCTGTGCTATTCATCCCATACCAACCCCAACCCCAGGACATCATATCTCGATGACGCCCCTTCTAAAAAGTAATCGATGGCGACCTCCGATACTTGCATTAGGAAGAGTGAAGAAGGATCATGTAAAGAGGGAGCATGAAAACATGATCTCAACAGGCGCGACGGGGCGAAGGTGATCAGGTACAAAGGCAAGACGGCCGAAGACCTGATAAAATGCGCATCGATCTGGAAACGAGAAAAGTCGTTCCTGGAAAAGCTACATCACGTGTGTTTTAAGGCTTTCGACGGCCGCGTCTTTTCCATGCCTGTCGAGCAGCTTCCCCCGTCCCTCCACCGCGGGTTTAATTCACCCTTCGAGACAAGCGACGCTCAAAGGATTCTCCATGGCATGTCATCCGCCCTCGCCTATCTTGCGGACCGGCGGGTCATCCACAATGACATCAAACCAGCCAATATCGCCTATTCGCCTGAGCGCGGCGCTGTTCTTCTCGATTTCGGACTAGCTACGACGATCGATGAGAAGGAGCTGCCCGGCGGCACTTCTTGGTATGTCCCGCCTGACCTTATTGTACAACGGACACGAGGGACCCCAGGCGACGTATGGGCTTTGGGTGTCACAATGCTCTATGTGCTGGGAAATATTACTCTTCCGGAGAAGACAACAAAAGGTTGGCTCATCCGTAACGTGACAAATCGACACGGGGAAGCTCTTGTTGGGCTGGCTCGATAATGTTGCTCGCGCTAGAATCAAGTTAGATCGGACTGATATGGTGAAAAATACCGTTTTCCGGATGCTAGAGCCCGGAATCGATTCTCGAATCCATGCCACACAGATCGCAGCCTGGCTTGAGGATTTGAAAGATACCTTGGGCAGCAAACCTCACTTGTCAAACTTGCAACAGCACTCGATCAGGGACGAGGAGAAACCATCCGAGAAGGGGGATCGCACAAAGAGGAAAGCTCGGCGGACAACTTCTGACTAGCCTGCTTCCCTGTCCCTTTTGAGGGCTTTTCTATCTAACCGGGTAGTTTCGATCATTGCAATCGGCCGTGCCATTTTCCAACTTACGAAACAGAGGTACGAGTTCTCGTCGCTGCTCATATTGAATCACAAATTAGCAGGCGTCTGAGGCAAGGCCTTATCCTGAGCCATGGTCTTTGACGAGGTCTACAAAATCAGACAATCCTCCGGGCTTTTCTTTCAGAAATGGTGTCATGGCCTCATCACGCAAAGGGGTTCACATAAACACTTTATATACACTTCATATAATGAGCCGTCCTAGCCTAAGACCCAGGCGGCGGAGTTAGCAAGTACCGCTTCAATGCAAACGTCCAATATACATATTTCGAAAGAAAGAAAGAAAGCGATGCTTATGTTACGGTAGGGAGAGATCCTTAACTAGTAAGTATCGTGATGATCTGGCTTAAAATAATTCTATTGAGCCACATCCTTGCGACAAGCCAGCAGGGCAAGAGGTGGTGCTTCCGGAAGGGCGCAGCACGCGCTACATTGAAAATAGTCCAAAGTGATATCCCTGCCTTTATTAGCGCCGCCTACCTTAATTTCTGGCTCACAATATCATAGGTCAGCAAGCCAAGAGGAGGGCGGTAGCTGATCTTAGCCTGCTCGAAATCCACCACCGCGATACTACTACAACTCACTGTGTCACGTAAGGCGCCACGTAGCTTCGCATCGCGGTGCAGGTCCCCAGCTCATGCGTTTTCTTTCACATCTGGGTAACCGTGTTGACCTTGGCGGCTCCATTGGCGATGTCGAACAGTGCGGCGGCACCTTTCTGACAAGGCGTCTCCTTAGGTGAAGCAAGACCCATCTGTATTTACGAGGGAAGCACTTATGCAGCTCTGCGGATCATCCGATTGGACGCCCATGGCAGGGGCGGGTCGCGCCAAGCCCCATGTGTTAATCACATTGCATCCGACCTTTCTACTGGCTGAGGGCGGTCGTAGCCAGATTTCCTCGGGTTCTGTACCCGTTGATGGCTCGTCGAATTCTCGGCTAGCCGCTATCTGACCCACGGACTTAACGATGTGGCCGCCTCTTGCCGCCACAGTGCCTGACACCCACATCGATGTAACTGTTGGTCGAGCCTTCACAGCACCAATAGATAAGTTGAATGATCGGTAGGCTGCAAACAGACAACTATTTGGCAGCGGAAACTTGATTGCGCCGTAGTTGAGCGAATCGTGTTGTCCAGATTTGACTCCTGTATTATTGCTCATTTTGGCTTACGTCCTATCATTGCGACCTTGTCGAGCACCCAAACTCGACTGCTGCAGTCGAGCTGCATGGCCCAGATCTTTTGCTAGCGTGCTGAAAAGAGCCAATGCGGAGAGCGTAGCAACCATTACCCCCAGTGCACCGTTTTGTTTCTACACTGGTAATCTACCCCGCACATTACCCCACTTCTTGAGATTCCAAGCAAGCAGCTTTACCTCTGTGGACTTCTGCTTACACAATAGTTGTAGAGCGAAAACGCGCGGAAGTGTATCTGCTAAAGCGGGATGGAGCTGACGCGGCTCACCTCAAGCAAAAATTTACGGAAATGGGTTGGGTAGGGGGTTGGTCTCTCTCAAGTGAACCTCAAGCGGAGGTAAGCGCATAACACTCTGTTGTAGACGAATCACCAGAAGTAAGCCATAGAGAACTGTTATAGCATCCGGTTCAGTACCCAGGATCAAGAGCTAGAAGGTAGCCGGGCTACAGTCGGTACCTCCGGCCCACTGTTGACGGAATACCCGCACCGTCCCAGTTCGGATATCCTCGGCAAATGCGTGGCCGTTTGTTGGACCAATATTAGTGCGGGGGCCTCCGACACCCTTCCCACTCAACCGTAATCATCTCCACTTCTAGGCGGTACGTAACAACCTGAACAGCATGTCAATCAAGGCAAGCCTGGGTTCGGTGTATTCATTCACTTGGAATCCCATAGCTTCCGCATGTGCCTACAAGCAGCCTGAGTGACCTGTCTACGCTCAAAGATGATAGCAATCTATTGCAATTTCTGTCCAGTTTAGAGCCCAACTTGGAGATTTTAAGGTTGAGGAAGGTATCATAGATGTGCTATTGGTACACGATAAGTGATCAAATACAGCTGTGTGATGTCCACAGGGATATGTGGCATGAGAAGGCGGTTCTGTGGACTTGAAATCCAAGTACTCGCCTCAAGCCAGTTGAGCCTCCATCAGAGCACCTGCTCCGCTACATGCCTCTTCCTGAATCGGGGCTGCTGGAAGTGACATGCTAGGATTTCAAAGGGCTCGCCTATGGCCGTATGCACTCTTGCACATTGCCATATAGCTGCGGTTCACTAGTGGGCCGCCGCTGCCATTGTTTGATCGCCCAGACGCCTGTTAGAGCACAAATCCAGGAGGTAGTGTTATGAAAAAGTTTCATTGGAGTGCCTCACTTCCTATCTCACATTGATGGCAATGGTGGCATGATCTATTCCCAACTCGTCTTTTAACGAAGAAAATCAAGTATTTTGGTCAAGCCTTGTGCATCGCCTGCCATCGTCCCAGCTTTCTCCTGGTCTACCCATCCAGGTGTGTAACTGCCCCCAAAGTCGATAATCCAGGCATTGTCATCCTGATCGATCAAGACGTTTTCAGCCTTGGCATCGCCCCAGACGATGCCTTTGCAGTGTAGCTGCTTCAGAGATGTACTGATCTGCGTTCTCCAACGTTTCCTGATCTCGGATGTACTCTGGTTGGCTCTTGCTCTTGACAGCACTCCTTTCTTCTCGATCCAATTGAACAGCATGCCCAACAGGTTGTTCCCGTCTCGAACAATGCCGTGTAGGCGACAGATCCATGCATCAGGGGCAGTAGGTATTTGCGCCGTAGCAATTTCGTTCAATGTTGCGAGTTCCTTCCTGGCATGCGCTGGACCGAATGAGACTCCGAAAGGTTTGAAGTGACACATGACCTTGTCGCCATTTTTCGCATCTACAAGGACCTTAGTCGGTCGTCTTATCAAGACGTCTTCGGGGCGATCGTACAGTATCTCGACATCAGAGGGATCGTAGGACCGAGCCCACTGATCGAGATTCCCAAGCAACTCATCGTCAGCAACCACAGCGGGGCTGCACCAGCCATGATTCTGATTCTCTGCCTGATACGGGTGTGGAATATCGTCGGTGGCATCCAGGCCGCAAACGATGTGCGGGGGGAAAAGATACTGGGATAGAGTTGGCAGACTACCGTTAGGAAGCACTGGAGACGGCGGCGCCAGCTGGATGATAAGAGGCTCGAACATTCTGGACAGCCAGTCGCACGCATCTTCAACATAGAAATCGTCCTGCTCGTCTTCCCCATACCGCAGCAGTTCGAGACATCTAAAGTACTGCTTTGTGATTCTGGGCGACCGATTGAATTGCGACGGGGAGATTGTGCAATAAAAGGCTCGTCCGTTGTTGGTTCGAATGATGAGGTCGCAGTCGTCTTCCGTTTCGTGTATCTGCCAGAGAGCAACGTCGTATCGTAGTGGGTTCTCCATGGCGATTGTTCTCGTGACTTGCGGTGAATTCAAGACGAAAGAAGTAGGTTAAATAGAGAACGCAGGTAATTGAGGGGATCTAGCATCAGTGCTTCCGATCTTTGGTGCGTTTATCTGCAAAGGAAACTGCATGGTAGTGGTCCGTGCACGAAATCCGCTGCATCATTTACTGAAATGTCCGCAGCGGCACCGTACGTGAGCAAATGTGTGTTCGTGACAGCGGCGCAGCAATAGAAGCACAGTGGTCCTGGGCGTCTCGCTGAACCCGATTGTGACCACTTCGCTTTATGTCGGCGTATCGCTTTTCGTCAATCGATACGTGAGCGTCTGTCCATACAATGGGCTGGATCTGCCCTGTCTCATTTTGTATTTGACCCTATGATCCCCCCAGCACTAGTGATGATGATTGGTGCTAACTTAGTGTCAGACTGCCCCAGCACATTCGCTACCGTAATTGTTTCACCTCGAGCGACCTGACTTATGCTTAACCAGAGGTATGAGTAAGGCCAGCAAGGGTATCCTTATACAAGGGGATTGTACACTCATTATATAGATATGGGGTTTCTTTCCATAGCCATTCATTCGTCGTACTCATGAATATACACACAATGACCCCTGCCTGTCTAACTGCTGCTCGATACTTAGCATGCCCACTCACCAGATCTACGCCGTCTCCAAGTTACCAGCAACTACACCATTAGAGTTAGGTCGCTATACGGCAGACATGTGTCAAGCGTGGAGGTACACCTTCACATGCGGACACCAGAGCGGAGAAAAGTGGTACGACCCTGAAAACGCCGAGGATTGCCCAGAGGCGGTGCGTGCCAATCGTCGTCACAGGCAATATGGAACGCTATTGCGCTGTAACCCCTTATCGACTGCGTCCGTGTCAACGCAAGGTGTTTGTTCGAGGGACAAATGCTATGCCAAGGAGTACCTCATACCCTACGGTTGGTAGTGTCATTATTGTGGCTACATGAATAATGCAGGGGTAAAGCATTGTGCAAATTCTCAGGCCGGTCTCAATCAAGGGCTATGCCGGCACAACCCGTGTCGTCACTGTCAAGTAGATGACCCTGCTCAATAATAATCAGCAAACTATCTTGATAAAATCTCGGTCAGTATATCAGAGAGAGATGGCAGCTCGAAACGGATGCTATTCTGGCGACTTCCCCTAGTCTAACCTATCAAAGATAGATAGCACTCGCTTGCCAAATGCCTTCCGTCTCCTGTCGCGCAAGTCTGAGCCTTCGTCATTTATGCTCTGTGTGCCGAGCCGCCAAGTCCATCCTAGCACACGGCTCCAGGTCTCGACAGCTAGGCTATCATTGACTAAGACGTCGTCCTTAAGATTATCCCCGAATCTGGACGTAAGGAAGCTACCAAAACCCCTACAAAACCCGATGTTACCTGTCAGGCCCATCCCAGTACACTCGTTACAACGATTGTCACACTATGCCTATGAGACAATATGGTCTTACACAAGCATGACTAGCTTTGCCAAGGATATGTCAGTACAAGGGGTCTTCCACTCACTATATAGATAGTCGGGATATTCCCATAGCCACTCGCTCTTCATACTCATCAATACATCCCATTGACCCCCTACCTGACAGTCGCTGCTCAACATTACCAAAGCTTCAAGCCCTCGCCAATTCAGTCACACCCTCGCTACCAGCAACTAGACTTCAACATTAGTTGCCGAGACAACAGCAACAATGGAATGGAAAATTAATTGACGCCTCATAGACGCGTATTGTTCATGACGGATGAAAAAGTGATTCAGGTTGTCGTGAACACCCTTTGTGAATAGCCGCCGCGGGCATTACAAAGTCGTCCCTCTTGGAAGGACAGCAGATCCAAGGAACCTGGGAATGAAAATAGTACAGAATTGATTGCCAAAGGAAGCTATAGAGTGTCTACTTGACATGTGATCCTGTCGTAATTCATTGGTTTGTTAGTGCTGAGAAGTCTCGTCCAACTGTGTCATCCACATGGACGTGAGGCACCGTGGCGACAAGAGACGACCATGTCGTTACGCACCGAACCACAACATGGATACGACTATGCACAGACCTCGCGTCCGAACGCTAGTCATGTAGCCTATAAAGTAACTAACCGTTAACACGGGCGACCGGAAACCATTAAAATCCTTGAGTGATTTGCCCACCCTTCCATGGTTTATGCATGGACGTATGGCACTACCAACGGTGTGGCTAGGCCCCTTGGTTAATATATACAATGTACATCGTATATCAAAAAGCATGCAAGATGACCAACTTACAGGAGGGGGTGTGACCCGCTCCAGCTATCGCTATCCAATCGGATGACCCGCAGGGTCGGACGAGCGCCGTGTATGGTGAAAGATACATCGCAGACAGCAGATCTTGCTTCATCTTGAGAGGTGCCTTGTCAGAAAAGGCGCCCTGCTGGTCGTCGACCTAGAGCGTCGGCGTTGAACGAGGCCATTCCGATACCGATACTTCACTCAAAGAGTGCGAAATTAGGAGCGTCATGCAAAGAGCGGTTCAGCGGCTGCAACGGACAACTGTGCTATGGTTTTGAGCCCGATCTTCCGCCCTAGCGTTGTGAGAAGCAGGCCACGGGCGCTTCCAGTTCCACGACAATGAGATGACCCGAGAAACAGGGCAGGAGACACTCGGCAGGGGTCAGGTCTACTTCGTTGGACGCGGCAAGAAACGCTGGAAGCCCACACCGCCTAGCTACTCAGCGTCTGTAGTACGATGCATATCGTCCAACGGGACGGAACACGGAGCTGAAAGGTCGTTTTATGTGGCTGCTAATCTGCTTGGCATGACGCTATTGGCAAAACAACTGTTGGCTCAAGTTTGGCTGTTGGATGCTGGAAGCGCCGCAAGCGGCGCAGGAAATGGACAGTTGCCCCACCGCGTTCTGACCGAATGTCAACTGTTTAGAAGAACCAACATCATATTGCAGCAAATCATGGGTCACGAGTCTATCATGGGAGTGAGTAGCGACAGCCTATGTCGATATGCCAACATGCGGCGCATTGAGTATACTTTGCCTGACTGCGGGATGACTGCCTCTCCATGTTGGAGCGGCTCTGCATCCCTGCGAAGTAGCAATTGCGGGCAGGTGAGGGGTTACAAGCAAATACTTGTATCGTACCAATAAGATGCTCAGAATTGACTACATACCCCTGCGATTGGAGAGGACTGCCCAGCTAATAGATCATTCGATAACCGCTCTTAGAGTTGACCTGCATAGGTGTGAGTGAATTCACCATTCGGCAAGTTTTGCAGCGAGAGTTCCTGCACTCGTCACATTCATCATAGTGATACGGAGGCGTGTTGATAATGGCCCGCGACTGCGTAACGGGGTAGACGATCTAACATTGTGGTAAAAATTATTTATAAACAGAGATGTCCTCCAAAACATGATTCACTCGAAACACCATAACCATTTTCACAGCGAAACACCCAAAGGTGAATAATTATTGCAAAGCGACCTGGCCTAGCTAACACGATGTAGACCATTCCCTCATCGTCAAAAAATGTGTTCCAAGGCAGCGCCTGCGACAATCTACCGAAAATGCGGCCATAAGTCTGACGGCGTTGAGAAAACATACAAATGTGATCTCTATCCCAGCGGTCCCAAGTGTTCAAACCCACCATATAATCATTCAATCACAGACAACAAGGTCAACAAGTGGTGCGACGATTGTGTTGCGGCGGGGAAGGGGCAGAATTGATGAAAAGATATCGTTTCGTCTCAAGCCCGATTGCCTTCTATCAGCGGCACAGCCATTGGTTGGGTAAACGTATGGAGTTATGCATAATCCGTACATACGTAGTACTGTAGCGGAGGACGGGAGTGGCCACGCTGGGTGGGCACATGTCTAGCTGCGCATGTATCTTTTCAAGAGATTATGCTTTATTTATGCAATGAGATACGGTTATCGCCCCTGTTAGTTACATATCTACTTTATTTATCAAACGGATTCACCCGACGGCAAGGAAACAACTATAAATATCCAAGACCAAGATTCATTTGAGAAAACATACCCATGATTATGCCTCCTTCCTCACCACCACATGATTCCATTTTCACGACCTTCGTTTAAAACTAGACAACATGCAAATCATTACGCCATTTAGAGATTTCCCCGGAGAATGCCTCAGCGTTGGACCGTCTCAAGGCCTTGTGTACGCCATCAACCAAGAGATCGTTATCAAGGTGCCGTTTCAGTACCCGGTCCTCGAGGATACAAGCACGCATCACTTGCTAGATCTCTCCCTCAGAAGTTTCGTTTCTCTAGAAAAAGAATTGGCGGTTTACCAAACCATAAAAGCCCACCCACATCTCAATATCACTCGAAGACTGGAAACCGATGAGGCTAATTGTTTATTTCTGGAACGGCTCACACCGCTGGAAGCAGCATGGCGTACCTCGAATGAACCAGACCGACGACGCTGGGCCTTGGAACTACTCGATGCAGTACGTTGGTTGGAGAATCAGGGTTGGGCCAATGGTGACCTTGCTGTGCGGAACCTCGGTGTCGACAGCACGAATCGCCTGAAAGTGTTTGACTTTGGGTCTGCTGTTGATCGCTGCCATCCGGACTACGAGAATGATTTAAGAAGGGATCATTTTGACCTAGCGACTTGTCTACATTTTATTCTTTCAGGGATCGATCCATTTACTGGGGCGAACTCATACGCTGAGGTCAAGAAAGTTCGGGCAACGCTGGAGAGCGGCCATGGAGTTGTTGGACCTGGCGCTGAAGTTTTGACTGGTATTATCCAAGACGGTTGGACTGGACGTGGTTCTACAAGATTTAGTCAGGATTTTGAGCGAGCCTTTGATATCCTCGGTCCTCTGGCTCGCAGCACTCCGACAGACCAATCTGAGAGCCACTATCAACGCCTTGAATCTCATTGCAGAGATTGGCTTCACAATTCACCACGGAACCCACATTGGAAGGATGTCGAAGGGTACCTGTTGGATTGTAAGGCGGTGGGGCTCGAAGCAGATATGGACATGTGGCGTTGATAACTGGTTACGCCTTCGCAATGCTTCTATGGTCTATCTTGGCAATTGAGGCGTCATTCTTCAAGGCTCTTCTACTACTACGGCCATGCCAGACTGGGGTTAGCAGAAAGTCGCGGCAGCAAATGACTACACCGGCTTTTTTCTGCGACCATCTCTAAGTGTGTTCTATGCGGAGAACTGTACAATTGATCAGCTAAAACTACATGAGACTCTTCCCTGCTTACCATGAGTAGAAGGTTCTAAATGATCTAACTTAATGAGATGAAATAAGACGAGGTACACGAGAGCTTGATGAACGACAAGTTAATCTGGGATGTAACGACGCCAGCGATCTAGGAGCCGCAGGCGAGGGTTATCTAGGGCTGCTTCCTCACAACCCTAATAGGACGTTAGGGGTAGACGAAATTGGTCCTGTTGGCGTGTAGAGAGGGTAGATGGGTAATTAAGAGCATGCTGTGGGGAAATAAGAAGGTGGGAAGCAGAGTAGATATAGGTGGAGTAACCTAGTGTGATAGTAGCTGTTATTTGGCTTGAAGAGCAGATAGTGATAGTAGCCTTAGTCTACGTACTAGGACAAGATAGTTTTGCTCTGTAGAGTATATATGACAGCTTGTGACAAATGGTGTTAGAAACTCGTCCCTCCTTGCCCGACATCGCCTGCATCACCATCCGCAGCTGTCTCCCAAGCCGAGTGTCGCTCTCAGCCATCGTGGACGGCACCCACTCGAGATGATTGGTGGCTGACATGCATGCTGCAAGGTTGTCGTATGCCGAACTCCGATGTGAGTGATGAGCATGGAGGTTCAGGAGTAGAGGGTAAGGTTATATTGAGGGGTTCTTATACAATTAGTATGATCGCAATGGACCGGGCTGAGCAGGAACGTAAACCGAGTGAATGTATTGAGAGAGGGACGGTTACAATGCAGAGTGTAGGGATCATTCTCGGCGAATGCTGAACGGCGCCAGAGTGGTGTGCGGCTTATAGACAATCCCCTCCTCCTAGCATTGTGTTTGTGCATGCAAAGCATGTTGGAAGCAGTTAGATGCCATGTGTTGCGGCGGAGAAACGGATCATGATACTTGGCGTAGCGGCCGCAGATCCTCGTGCGGGTGACATTCGCAGGCATAGATTGGCAGCCCATGAATTGCAACTGGTATTGACTCAAAGGCCTGCAGGCGTGGAACCGTTTGCCGGCACCTTGCTTGCGGGCGTACTGGGCCCGTTGCCAAAAGCTACTTCTCCGGTAGAACCGCGGCTGAGGCGTTTCAACACTCAAGTTTCTCAGCAGAAGGCAGGTCTCCTTCATAGGACGTGAAAATAAACGCTACACCACCTATTTCCCAACTAGACACTGCATGTCAACTTGCGCCTGTCTGCGAATATGCTATGTCATTAATCTCGTGCAAGAATACTTCGCCTCGTCACAGTCCCGCTCAGCTCGAGCATCCAATTGGCGGACAAGTTCGCCGGCTATCACACACTGATAGACCCCTGTTTTTGCTTAAGAGGAATAGATAGAAAATATCAAATGGAGCAGTCTTCAATTCACGTCTCACGCTATCTGAGCGTCACACATGGTTTTGAAGGCGGATGGAACAAAATCTACGCAAACTCATCCATTACTTTAGAATACCACCCAGCTTTTCCCCTCTGATACAGCCTCATCGCGGTCACCAGCTGCTGTCTTTTCCAATTCTTCAGCGCGTCTGATAATGAGTTGTCTGTTCCCCTCCTATCCTCAGCTTCTTTCATTCCACGGTACATCGATCGCTGGCGGAACCATTGAGAGGGTTAAAGGAAAATCTGCAAATATCTCCCATGGCCCAGCGAAGGATGCCTCCCAGTCAATCAAACCGAGGACACGATACTCGTCGTCAACAATGATATTGTTGTGGCCAAAGTCGCCGTGGCAAAGAGGGAACGGGCAGTGGTCGCGAGCTGAGAGTCTACTAGCAAGGTCGCTAATGGATTTTGGAAAAGATGAGACGGAAGGGATAATCTCGTCAGCATATTGACCAGATGCTGTTCGTAGTTCTTCGTCCGTCATGCCGAATGTGGTCTTGGCCGCCCATGCTTGGAAGAATTCGGTCGCTGTGTTGAAAGGACCACCAAGACCCCGAATTGGGCCTTGCCGGTATGTGCCGTCCTCGTTTCTCGAAACGATTGTCCCAATCATAGGGAGTTGTACCGTGGCTAACTGAACCTGTGATGGATTAGTTAAAGGTGTGCTTAGTTAGAACACCTCGGTGACTTGCATGAATCTGCGCGAGACGGCGTAGGAACGTTTGCTTATATCCAGGCGGGATCTTCATGCCCAAGTCCATTCCCACGTTCCCTGGTAGACAGTCCATCAACATGAATGGTGCCTTGACGTCACAATCCCGTCGAGCCTCAATAGCATGGACTTCAGGAATCGGTATGCTGGTTTTTTGTCGCACAAGGGAAATGGTGTTGTATTCGCAGTTTTCAACTGCCTCTACCGACTGATCCGAGTTTTCGGAGACAGCTGAGGTACCAAAAGAAGGCATTCGCAGTCGTGCCACCCATCGCACACCATCGTCAAACTGGATGATTCGGACCATATGGTTGTAGCCAAGGCCAATATCACGAAGGAGCTGGCAGCTGGACCCATTCCTCCTCTTGGCTGCGTACTGCAGGAGTGAGCTCCAGTCCACAGATGCCGAAAATGACTCGGCTCGTGAACGAATGGGTCCCTCTTGTAGAGAATCGTGATACGTCCACCGATATCCTGAAAAGGCTTCGGAACTCTCTAGAGAAGGTCAGCGAGAATGAAACCGAAAAAAACATAGAGAATCACTTACGAGGCGTGTCATCAGACGAGCTCCTCTCAACGGCGTTGCTTTCCATTGCTTTTCTTGATACGGTAGCGACTTGTCAATGTAATGTTAGCAAAAAAGGAGAAAAAAGTTGATGTTGTAGAGAGAATGGAAAGTAAGGACAACGCAAGGTTAAGTCCCTGAAGGTGGCTGAATTAGGTTAAAATCCGGCAGTATCTAACGGGGTCTAGCCCCCGTTTATCCCAACGACTATAATATCAGGCCAAAGTTACATACACAGGTCGGGTAGAGATGCCTATGCTTTTCGATTTTCTAAGCATGGGTAACTTGACTTTTTGTCACATATTATGCACGCGTGCATAAATTTAGCCAACAGGAATTTAGTGTTCAAACTGGGGTATTTCCACAGAATCTGATGTGTATAGAAGACGTACCTATCATACCATAGTATGCCACAAACTCGTGCAGTGGTCCTATGCTCCAGTCTGCACTGCATCTCGTCTAATTGAGAAAGGCGTCTGAATAGCTTTCGTAAGCCTTGCTTTTTTCGTAGCAAGCCGAAGCACGAGGCAGAGGCCCAGTCTCAGCCGGGCCAGTCTCTACTTATCACCCTGGTTGGAGTTGAAAGTCCACCTCGTTGTTTGTGGTTCACAGAACCGATGGCGGGTGCTGCTTCCGGCTTCCGCGGCGGAAAGCGCTCTATTTAGTGGGCATCCCCTCATGGGATTCTTGATGTCCATCCAGTTGTGGATACGCCAAGCCGTGAGAGAGACGGGGAAACGGCGCTGGGGTGTCCCACTGGATGATACGCGACACTTTGTAGCTAAGTGGTACGAAATGTTTGACGTGAGGATGACACCCTTTCTTAACGAATGAACCTGGAGCTGGCACGGGAAATTCCTGCGCTCCCTCCTAAGGCGAACCAAGGCATCGATCTCGTAGACGGCAGGACACCATAAATAATACCTCTGAGAATACCAGACCATGTTAGGCTGTCATGTCTTTTTCAGGGGTTATTGTCTGCCTTGCTGGCCTGTACGACCTTGTCATGCATGGGCTGTCGCTGCACCATTTCAGCGATAAGCAAGGCGTGGACGGACGCGTGACCAATGCTCAATCTGCCAAATTTTGTTATGCATAACTCCAACCCCCCTCCCCCCCTTCCCCCCACGAGCGCTCAGTTATGTCGTCCTTCAGATGTACTGGATGATGGCCAAACCAATGTCCGACTACTGTTATTTTATCCACAAGCATACGTATAAGAACTAATTCCACACAGCTCTGTTGACTTGCACACGCCTGACCAAATGGGCGAGATGCAGGATAGACTGGAGCACAGGACCGACCACCCATCCAGCACGTCTCCGCTGCAAAGGGTTAAGCACTCCCTGGACTGTCCATTGCTCGTCAAGTCTCGACCAACAGTTACATCGAGTGGGTCAAGCACATCGTACGTATCGCGCATGGCAAACTTGCAACCTCTGGGCAGTACTGGTAGTTACCTTAAGGTGGACCACGTACATCGTATGTTAATGCATCCTCAAAAGCGCCTTGCTTGCGGACGTACTGAGCCCGTTATCAAATCTACTTCTCTAGAGCAGCAGCCAAGGCGTCTTAACCCTTCTATGTCTTCCTCAATTCTGACAGGGCTTCCCTGTCCACAGCCCCGCTTCAGCCATCAGTATCCAATCGGATGATCCGCAAGGCTGCACGAACGTTCTTCGTGTGATGAAAGATAGGAAGTAAGCTTGCTACACCTTGAGAGGCTTTTTGTCAAAAAAGGCGCCTTGCCGTACGTTGACTAACCAGAGTGTCGTCGTTGAATTGGGGGGGGGGGGCATTTCCTCATGCCTGTAGAGAACTCAGTCGACGTCCTGTGTGACTCCGCCTCTGTGCGGCTTTACCGCATATGATGGATGGCTGGCACTCACGATAAACACAACGCCGGGGGAAATGCCAAGTCACGTTTATTGTTAGCAGCTGCAATGCAACCTACCCGCCGAATGGCACTCCAATATTGTCCCCAAGACACCTGGTTTAGTAATGCGGGTGGTAATATGTCTGAAACGTGGACCAACAGATAGCCATTGATCTGACTGAGGCGAACGAAGCACAGTGAGAAGCTGGCGGAAACTACATGTGCCCAAAGCTACCTAAATGCAGCAGAGGGATCTCTCTTTTGTATATGGCGCAATGGTACAATTCCGAATTCTGTCAAGAGCCTTCGCCGGCTGCAAGCCTGCAGCACGCCAACTACACAAAACGACCGGTAAGGACGCACAGCTGGAGTCGGGGTCGTCATTAGCTGCAGGAGAGCACATATTACTCGTGCGGGGCGTCTCCCTACGTGCAGCAAGCTCATTTTCAATTCACTTGGCGCTGTGCGTTCACAAATGCAATCAGTAGCAAGAGTATATAATCTAGTGGTACGTATCGGATACAAAAGAAGACCCCGTGAACCTGATGCAAGGCATTCTATACCTGAAGTAGGCCAGCCCTAATAATGATGGCCAAAAAGAAGCAAAAAAAGGCAGCAGAATGCCAAACGCCTCCTGACGATGGCGTTACGGTAGATATCGACCCTGAGGCGTCGTAAGTCTTATCCTCTCCGCTATCACTGAACGTAAGGCTGATATTCACCCAAAGCCCTTACACAAGCTCGAGCTGCATAATTTATTTCAAAAACCAACAACCGTTCACGATACATCGCGACCTTATCCGTGCGAGTCCTGAGCTTGAAAAGCTTCGTGGTAACTTCAATGAGATCTGCATCAAGGATGTACCGGAGGAAGCAGGCCATGTTCTCGTCCACTATCTTTATACTGGCACTTGGCAAACCCTCCACGAGAACCATTCACAACACGACTCCGAGACGTCAGTCCACTTTGAAACCAGTGTACATGTCTACTCTGCTGCCCGAGCCTACAGTCTACCGGGTTTAGCAGAACTGGCCAAGGAAAACATCTGTCAGTCTGCAGATGTGTTACCCGCGCTGGACGTCATCGTCTTGGCTGCCGATGCATGCGAACTTCTCCCAGACGATGATTCGTGGTTCTTGGCCTTTATCAAGTTGCGTGTCGGACAACTGTTCAAGGAGCCAGCCTCCTTGGACCAATCGGTCTTTCTGGGATGCTTTTGCGTCAACACCCCATACTCGAAGGTTCTGGCCGAGACCCTGTTTCTAATCTGCTGCGAGAACTCACTTTCTCTACAGTCTGCCGAGTCTCGTGACCTGTCTCGGCCGGAACCATCGACTGTTTCAGAAAATGATGCGACACCCTCAACCGATGCTTCACACACAACACAGCATTTAGCTTCAGAGCCTAGCCCAGAGCCCGCACCAGAGTTTGAAACGGAGCCATCGGTGGAGGTTGTGGCCGAGCCTGAGCCGGTAGCCTGGGCGGACGTCGTGGCAGAGCCTGAACCAACAGCGGAGGTTGCGGCCGAGCCTGAGCCGGAGGCTTGTGTGGAATCCATACCAGGGCTCGAGCCCGAACCCGAACCGGCGGCGGAGATAGAAGACAATGGGTGGTCATGGCCTCCGAAGGTCAAGAAGAAGGGGAAGAAAGGGAAGAAGGTTGAAAGCCAGGAGACTTTTTGCTTCTGGAAGGAAACGCATCTTGTAGATGGCGGATGGGAGGATTGTTCCAGCTGTCGGCAGTACGTTGGCAAATTCGTGTCATCCTATCATCAGTCGAAAGCAAGTAGTTGATTGGGGATATAGGGCAGCGGTTTTCACGGAACACAGACTAGAGAACCAGCTTCTTGACACTTGAACCTTTTCTGAGACAGTAATTGGTGCATGTGACATCGCTATCTGACACATTTATTTGACACACTATCTACATTCTCTCCTCACATATCCAAGTCCATTAACATTCTCTCAATCCATCTAACCATTGACATGTCTGTGTCGCACCTCACCAAGCTCTTTTATCTCGTCATCTTTAGCGTAGTAGAGAAGTGGACTTGTAGCGTCCCGAGAGACCGGCCCGGAAAGGAACTCGAGAAACGGCTGTGGGTCTCCTCCCTCCATGAAAGGTTCTGTCCTTTCAGCTGAAGCAAGAGTATATTCTCATGCTCTAAGAAGGGGCCCTGAACTTAGCAGACCGCCTCGTAGGTTTTCATCTCTCCAGCGAAGAACCCGAGGTCTGACTTATCAAGGGATAGCAATGAGGTTGTCGTTCTGTGGACGGCTGCTTCTATTGCAGTTGGAATGTCGTTAAAACTCCATCTGTGATGCGCTTCGGAACTGCATTCCTGAGAGGCCAGTCATCATATCGCGGCAAGAAAGATTTAGGGTCTATTTCGTTATCGATAGAAGTAAGAGAGACCGGCGGGGTCATAGTTCCACTTGTCCTTGGTCGATTCATAACCCGCTCTGACCTTCGTCTTGGTTGTGATGACGTGTGTCGTGGTCTCAAAGTCCTGCTGGTGCCAACAATCTCCTGCAGAATTTTTCAACAGCTCTGGGGCCCTAGCTGAATTTTGCCAGCATTGGCTTGGTCTCTGACGCAGTCATCGTTGGATCTATGAGCGCCATCCTCATCGCTAGTTTCCAGATCCGAACCAACTTCGACATAAGAACCTGGGAGCTCTTAGTCTGTCAATAACTGGCGTACCTAGAGATCAAAAGTGGCAAACGCACGCAAAGTTCCACTCGCTTCAGCCTCGAATCGACTCACTGGAGGACTTTGGACGTTGCCGACTTCTCAGGAGGTACCTACTTCAATCTCTATTGGAAGTTCATCAACGGCACCACCATATGGCAGCGTTAACACACGGTCAACGGTATCTCAGCGGTGGGGTGGGGCTGGAAGCCCAGCCCACCAAGAAAACTCCCGATTCCAAGTGGGAAGAGACCTCCCTACTTATATTTGCATCGACCTCGTCTCATTTGCTGTAAGTTTGCAACTTGGAAAGGGGCAGGTTTGTTCGTTGTGCAATGACATCAAGGCCCCACCGTGTGCCTTTGGAAAAACACACATTTTCGCATCTTGGACAATCGCTTGGTGAGCGTTGTGGCAGGGGTTGGTGGAAAACATCACACTTGCGGCTTCCAGATGAGCAAACGGCTGGCGGTTGGCTTTTGGCAGCCGGGGTCTAGACCAGGTCCAGACTGATCGACGAAAATGTGGAGCGACCAGGGTGCTGAATCTGGACTGGTAGATGGAGACTGAAGGCCAGAAGTTGATGAAGACTACCGGAGACGGAAGAGGCTCAGCAGACAGCTTCCGGCCCGGGGGTGGGGCGTATGCCGGGGATCTGTGCTTTTCCTGGGTGCGGCCCGATCTGGCGCCAACAGCTGGGGGATCATCCGGTAATTAATAGAGCATCTTGTGGATGTGACCATCCACCCCACCTTTTCGACCGGCTACCCTCACTTTCATCGTCCAGAACGACTGCATCGACGCAACTGGCGGCATTCGCTTGGTTTATCGCGCGTCAGCTAAGGTCACTTATGGGGCTTTACCTTGACTGCCTTTGCATCGAGTCGCCGCCCTCCATTTCAGGCTGCACCATCCGGAGACTAGTCGATTCATGAACTTTCTGTTTCGAAGCCTGAGAAGGGCACACCCAGAAACACAAAGGGGCCTACTAACATTATCCGGAAAGGCGGAGCTGGCATGGCGGCGGAAATGTTTTTGGCCTACATGGACACGACAACCGAGTTTCCCGGCTAGCAACGCGCGTCAGTCCGCGTGTCTAAAGCCTACACAGGCAGTCTCGACTGAGTGCATGTCAAACAGGCCTTTGGTAAATGAAAACAGAAATGGCAGTGGTTGTGGTAGTGTAAGCTCAAATGGTGATGTGATAGTGGCTGTGAGACTGAGTGAACTAGCTTCTCAGCTTCGCGTAGCACAAACAAGCATTGAATTGTAAACTATGTAAGACATGGTCAAGATGTGTACGTCCGGAAACCGCTTGACGAAAGGGACGCCCCAGGACGTGACATGACAGGTGGTGTCGTCTGACACTAGATCACGTTTGATTGTATGGTGTGCGAGATATTTCCTTCCAGGTCTTTGGTGTTTTGCTTTTGATCGACTGACGAAGTTTGTGATGTGGGATACACTACATGATGACGGAAACCCGATTCTCGGTTCTACCGACCCCTGAAAATGGCGTCATACGTTCCACTACTGTGACTCCATCGTAGAGAGTGCATCAACTGCTTCTGTCGTCAGCGAATGAGTCGTATCTTCACGCAGCGGATCATCCTTACCTGACAGCTAGGTACATGAAGCTTGCCGCCGCTATACTCTCTCGCCAGAAGTGCCACGTAATGAGGCTGTATCGTCAGAGGCCTGCAACAGCGATAAACCGGCTTGATCGGAAGTAATGCGGTCCTCTCCTTCCTGATCGACCAATGGCGGCGGCATCATTCGCTGTATGTTCGCGGCTATCCTGAGGATTTCTGACTGCAAGGCGAGCTCCTGCTCGGGACCCATACGACCTCGAATGGTATACTCTGTGACGGCTCGCAGCTGATCCGCGGCCAGCTGGCGAAGTCTGTGACAGTATTCAACGGATCTTGTGGTGCTCATGGTCAGCGTTGTGGGCTGGGGTGCTGGGGCAAACATCAATCGTAGTAAAGAAATGGGAGAAGAATGGAGATGATGTGTGCATCACGGGTTACGCTATCTCTCATGGCTTTCAGACCAGTTCTGAAATATGTATATGATATATCGCGCACGCCGAAGGCGAGCTGTGACTATGGGTGAATCGAGACAAAACAGAAACAGAATCCTACGGTCACCTTTCGGCCGTGCTTGGAAATAGAGCCGATAGTCACTTTGCACCCAGTATAGCCGCTGCATCGATTCGGATGTGGAGAAGTAAGCTGGCAGGCTGAAGTTGACTCCGCAAACCAATATGATGAGGAGCCTTTTGTGACGTGTACCCTTCTCGCTCGAACAACAAGACTATGATAATCGACGAGGGCCAAACAGCGAGTGACTGATACATACAAAAGGCGGGTTCATTTCTCGAGACACAAAAATGCCTGAGATGACCGCTGCCGGACTCAGAATCAAATTGTATCTCCAAGTTTCTCTGGGCACGTGTCTTTGCTATTGGGCTAGCCCCCAGCTATATTACGCCTTCTTCTCCAACGTCATCTCGGATATCATCTCCTTCGCCATGGACTTCGACACGTCGCTTTTGGTCAACGAAGTCTGGGATGCGAGAAGGGACAGCCGCCACGAGCCATCGGTTACAAACATCCCGCTGCACTATGAACGAGCCAAGGCTCTTTGCCTGAGCCGAGGTGCGCGTCGCCAATACGCACATGATCCAACCGAATTCCGTCATGCTAGCATCACCCAGGCCTCACAGTCGATGACATTGCTGAGCTGACCCCAAGATTTTGGGACTTCCACTTCGATCGTACGTTCTCTTCCATATCTGTCGTCCATCAATCATGCTCAACTACTATCTGCCAGCCATTTCTTCTCGGGACATGACAGCTTTCGTCATCGCAACGATTCACCTCAACTTATGTGTCGGAACGATTGCAAGGTTCTCACGCGAGCGACCTGACCTCATGGCCACCCTCGAAGAACTCCTCACTTTCAAGGCTTGTGGAGAATTCATGTTGACAGAGGTCGGCCATGGCCTCGACGCCCGCAACTTGGAGACGACTGCGAGGATGGAAGCCGACGGATCTTTTACCCTGAACACGCCGAACGCAGGCGCCGCCAAAGCCATGCCGCCATCCTCGCCGCTAGCTGGCATGGCCCGCGTTGCTGTTGTTTTCGCCCGGCTCATCGTGGGCGGCGATGACCGAGGGGTAAAGCCCTTTGTCGTGCGGATCAACGACGCGAGAGGCATGTGTGATGGCGTTGTGTCGCGTGTGCTCCCTGTGCGGGCCGGCACCAAGCCGCTGGACCACTCCATCACGACGTTTCACAACGTGCGACTTCAGCCTGAAGCGCTTCTAGGATCGGCGTCGCGAGCCGACAACGAGCGAGAGGAGTTTCTTGCCCACATCTGGAGGGTGTCCGTCGGCACGCTCTCTCTCTCTATCATGAGGGTGTCTGCCATTCGAGTTGCGGGCTGCATCGCCGCCCTGTACAGCCAGCGTCGTCTGGTCGGAGATAGGACAAAACTGCCCATCATGCAGTTCAGCACACAGCAGCGACCGATCCTGGAAGCACTGGCGCACGGACAAGTCCTGCATGCATACGCCAAGTGGAGCGTTGGTGAGTTTATGAACCAAAACCACAACGCAGACGTCCGCAGAGGGATCGCTACCGTCTTCAAAGTCCTGGTGGTGTGCGCACAACCAGATAACCGAACTCGCATCAACCTTCCAAGGGAACGCCGTGGCCGAGGGCGACACTCTCGTTATAAGCATTCGTAGGTCTTCTTCGTACACGAGCTTAGATACGGGTCCTGACACCTCATAGGTCTCGCTTCTGAACTCCTCATGAACAGATATGGTCTTCCAGAACCGACCAATCCGACAGGATCTCTGGCCATGTATGAAGCGGGGATGCTCGAAGAGGTTGCGAGAGACAAAAACCTCGCACTCGGCGTATCCGGCAGCTTGAGGGGCACGACCTATAACAACAGCGTTCTCCCTCGATGCAGAGCGATGGTGGAGGCCATTGGACAGCGCATGGCCTACGAGGCAGCCCAGGCGCAAGGCAACATCGCGCCCGAGGTGATCGATGTGTTTGAAAAGTCTTGCATTCAGAAGGATCCGTCCTGGTTTGTCGAACACGGCTACGGCACTCGATCTGCGTTGCGGGACAACGAGAACGGGGCATACTCCAACTTGTTGCCCCTCTTGCCCACGCTGGTGGAACGGGCCAATGCTGAAGTTTACATCACGGCGCCGTTGGTTGAAGAGGGAGCCATGGAGGACTTCATCAAGGCCCTGCCGGCTTTTGGGGCTGGCACAGACGACGTAATAGTAGAGCAGGCTCCAAAGTCCCGGCTTTGATGTAGAAACAATCCAGATATTCTAGTTCTATCACTTGCATTGTTGTTCCCGCCATGTGTCAATGTCGCATATCGCGGCAGACATGACCGCGAGGGCAGGACGGCTTATATGGTTAGTCTTGATATGAGTCTAGCGGCGTTTCTGCTTACAAAACCGTGACGTGTGAGCTTTCACTGATCTTCATGTAAGGCAAGCCCTCATTTAATAAGAATGGTGAAAGATGTCAACCAACCATTCGCCTGTATGCACCACCTCTTGTGAGCTTTCTGCCGCAAATGCGCTTGTGGATGCGTGCTAGATTTCTTCCATTTCCGCCTTCTCTGAATGCGCTCGGTGTGAGGATTTACATCAACTGCCCTGACGCCGAGCTAATGCGACATTGCTCAATCACCGACAGAGGCCATTAGGCAAGGGTCCAAACGAAGCATGGCGGCAAAATACCTGCCTCAACTGAGGCTCCTATAGGTTTACGAAGGATTTCGTATGTATTACTTGAACTGCCGCAGTTTCCTCTACATATACAACGAAACCCTCGCGCGACTACGCCTCCCTACTCCGGAAAGCGGATGGCCACCTTGGTCTCCTTCTTCTCATTGAATCGTTTGTAGTACTCTGGCGCGTCCTCGATGCCGATGACTGCACTGATCACAAAGCTTGGGTGGGCTTTGCCGCTGTTGATGAGGTCAATCAACTGCGGAGCGTACTGCTTCGGATCAACGGCTCCTGTTCGGAAACCCAAGCCCTTGGCAAAGAAGGACGAGATGGGGAAGGGAATCGTGGGCGAGATGTCGCTGCCGTACGGCGCGCCAGGCGAATCGTCCTGTGAACTATACACGCCCAGTTGACCCATGCCTCCTTTGAAATGCGCCACCTCAATCATCTGTTGTGTGATAATGCTCTCGTCCATCTCAAGGCTCGAGTTCAACGCCTCCATGCCGACACAGTCTACGGTGCGCATGACCCCGTCCGGCTCGCGAGCCAGAATCTGGGCGACGGGGTCTTCGTCAGCAAAGTTGATCGGGATGGCGCCGATGGAAGCGGCGAGATCCAGGCGCTCCTTCACATGGTCGACGACGTAGACCTTGGACGCTCCACGCAGAATGGCCGAGTAGGCAGCAAGCAGCCCAACGGGACCCGCCCCGAAAACGGCGACAGAATCGCCGGGTTCGAATCCGGTGTAGTCGATGCCGGCCCATCCCGTAGCGAAGATGTCCGAAACGGTCAGGTAATCGCGCTCGATCGTCAAGTTGGCGGTTTCATGAGTCAACGGGATAGGGATCAGGTTGGCTTCAGCGAAGGGGACCCTCGCGTATTCAGCTGCGCAGCTTCTTGTCAGTGAACCTCTCTTTGGCATGCCCAGGATGCATATCGAGCAGGCATATTCGTACCTTGCAGACCGCCTAGACCCATCTCACTATTCCCGAAGCCGAAGTATTCCTTCGACCTCGGATCCATCTCCAGATGATCCTCAGACACGGTGTCGGGAATGATGACATAGTCCCCGACGGCGAAGGAGGACACGGCGTCGCCGATCTCCGAGATATAGCCGACGGCCTCGTGGCCCATCGTCCATGTCACCGCACCGCCCATGTAGCCGCGGTAGATGTGCAAGTCGGATCCGCATACAGCCGCGGTGGTCACCCGCACTACGACATCCGTCTCGTTCAGGATGGCGGGCTTGGCGACATCTTGAACCATCATTTCGAAAGGCGTGCCATGGTAAACAACTGCGCGCATGGTTGCGGCTGGCCAAGAAAGACTGAGTGACATTGCTAGGTGTCAAAGAGCGTCGATGCTCGAAATTGTTGTGTGTATGAGACGATGATGCGATTCTTGGTCGTCATTCACAAGAGGTTTGGGACTTTGAGACCTGGCGAGAGCCATAGTTATACGGGCATATGTTGCCAAACGATGCAGGCTTTCCTCTACTAACACAATTGATTTACTACGTTGGCACATATTGTTGGAGCACTCGTAGCCTAGCCAGTTGGTGTAGCAAATAGCTTGAGCAACAAACGTTGAAGAAGCAACAGGGTATGCGACATGCCTTGCACGCGTCGAAATAGACGCTCCGGCCGATATGACCGTCCTCAATTGTGGAGCCGTGGCTGCCGTATTTCGATGCGCACATCAGCATCCCAAATGTCACGCTCAAAGGCGATCTTTCTCCACTCTGTCGAGATGGAGGCAGAAAACGGACTGGCCCAGAGCCCTTTCTGGCCTCAATCGGCAGCAAAAGACGACATGACCCCTGCGCGGATAACACCAGAGGATTGGCGCCCAAGCGATCGTGGGAACTTTCAACACGGTCGCCACGGCGGTTGCGGAGGCGGAGGCAAGCATAGAATCGGCGCAAGAGAGATACGACAGAAAATCAACGACATTCTGGGTGCGGATGCGAAGCCTTCCCAAGACCCATCCGCTTCGACGCCTGTGGGCGGTGGCCTTTAGACGGTTTCCATCACCCTTCCATTTGATGGCGGAGGCCTATCGCGACCTACCCCTTGACAAGCTGGAGACTATCGAAGGGTATCCGATCGCTCCTTGGGAACGCCGTATTGATACAGTAGTCGACGACGACGCAGTCAAGGCCTCGGAGGCAATTCGATCTGGATGGGCAGTGAGGATTGCAATAGGGAGCTCAGCAAGAAACGAGGTTGTGGGCTTTGGAACGGCGACGACGCTGCCCGCATCCTTCAGAAGGGGCGGCGGCATCATGACGGCCTCGCGTACCTTCGGTCAGAGAACGGAACAGAACCCGTACGTAGCAGAGCTAGCGGCACTGGCAGAAGCGGTCAAGTCTCTCCCAGAGAGACTCGAGTATCGGGCCATCCACGTCTTCATCCGCAACAAAGCGGCAGTGTTGGTGATGCGCAACCCGCGGCAGCAGTCAGGTCAACGAGAGGTCCGACAATTTTACTCCATCATGCAAGCTCTGCAGAGACGAGGCAACAGAATCACTCTCTTCTGGCTTCCATCAGCGATAGAGTCAGACCTGGCGCAAGCGGCCAAAGCTGCAGCAAAAGACAGTACGCGACCGAACAAGATAGCGCAAAAATGACCGGCCAGAGCCTACTCGACGGCACTTAGGACCGCTTTACAGAACGTGCGACAGAAGCACGGAGCTTTGCCCCACAACGTAGGAGCATATTCGAAGAAGATCGATGTGGCTTTACCAGGAAAGCATACACGCGAGCTATACGATGGACTGTCCTGGAAAGAAGCCAGTATCCTGGCGCAACTGCGCACCGGCATGGCAAGACTGAATTGGTACCTTCACCAGATCGGTGCGGCTGCGTCGGCGCAATGCGGCTGCGGGCAATCGGTAGAAACGGTAGAGCATTTTCTCTTCCGTTGCACACAGTGGATGGCACAACGAACTCGGATGCTTCAACAAACGGAGTCGCATAGAGGAAACCTGTCGTACTTTCTCGGAGGAAAAAACGCGTCCGATCCTGATGACTGGTCGCCAAACGTAGATATTGTCAAAGAGACGATCAAGTTCGCCATGAACACGGAGAGACTGGATGCACAGATCAGCCAGCAGCGAAACCACACACCATCTACATCAACACACTAACCGACGACATCCCCCACGCACCCTCGTGCCATCGACAGCAGGACTAGCTTCGGCCGCCGACGATCGGACGCCGAACACTTTGGGAGACAGCCTCAAGATGGCCTGTTACTAACTCCACGAGCAACCGCAGCATTGGCATGTAAAGCTGAAGATGACACATACAGCGACGGACAAGACTTGTATGAGCTTCTGAGAGGCCAGAATATGAACGCAGGTGGAGAATATGTAAATAATCATGCGAGCCCTGAATAGCTTAGCCGGGGCGTAATAAACTATGTATGTATGTATGCAGATGACAGGGGAGGTGAGTGCTCCGTAGTCTACTTCCTGCTGTTGGTGCTTGCGACGTACTCCCCATCGGGGCCTCAAAAGACCTACCCAGTACTACGGTATAATGGGATATTCGTTGCTGCGTAATGTTCCACCCTGAAGCTCTGGCCAGCTCTTGATCGGTGACGAGGTCCCCCTGAATTGAGATAAACTGCAGGACGGACAGGGAACGCGCGCTGTACACTCTGCACGTCCACAACCGGAGGCTGTAGTTGGACAATCATGTACGGTACTTTGTGTGGTCACATCGCGAGGCTGTGCGAAGCTGGCCAAGGAGACACCGGAGCGGTGTTTGTCTCCTGCTGTTCGCCTCCTTCGTGGCCGCCTGGTGTCGCGTCGTCTGTTCTTGAGTCAGCCCATGAGGCGTTTTCGGTTCGCCTCAACAAGGCGAGAATCCGCGTCACCTCTGCCTCAGTTAGGCCCGGTTATGGGATCAGGACTGCATGGCTATTTCTCCATTGCACTCCAGCAACTACTATAAAGAACACCAGACGTGCCCGTCCTCATCGTACAGGAATATCTTCTTCCAATCGTCCTCATTCACTCTCTTTGTCCTGGTCTGCAAATCACCTTGCTAGGTCTCATCGCAATGGGCTTCTGTTTCTCGAAGTCACAACCACACCGTGGTCATGAGCTAGACTTTGGCCATGTCCCAGTCGGGAATGCTTCGCACACCATAGGGCATACGCATAGCGGCAGTCAAGCTCCTCTCTTTTTCCCATCAGACGAGGCTTTGCCCGCATATCCGGCTGAAGAAAGATCGAAGGCTAATACCATCCGCCTCGTCCAAGAAGCCAACAAGGAGAACGCTTTCCGACCGCTCCGGCAGAAAGGATACCAGGCGTACATGGACGAGAACCCCAAACAGGATGCTGAAGCCCGGTCTTGCATAGAATTCGTTGGTGCATTTCTCAGGCTTCTAGCGGAAGCATACGGGTGCGAAATGAGCTTCTTCTTCACCAGCTGTAGCAACAGCGACGGCGTCTACGTCTCCGAGGCAAAATTCCAGAAGGCCCAGGCGCTGGATCAGCTTTTCGAGACATCGCCTGGGACCAAGCTGCAGCAAATGTGAAAGACTCACAGGCTCTCCATGATATGGGATTTGAGGTGTGGATGAGTAACCTCGTCATCGATGAGAATAAGAAGAAGTCGGCCATGGAGCGTATGTCGGATGACGAAATGCACAAGCAGCTACTAGACCATATTCGCGAGGAGAAGATCGGGTTCTGGGAAGGTTGGAGAGCCAGAAGTCTGACAATTGAGCAGCTCCTCACTGTCTACAAGAAAGCTATCGAGAAAGCGGAAGCTCAGCCGAAACTCCGGAATAGCATTCGCTTCACCATCGAGCGGTCCATCGCATTGCAGTCGCGGTTGTCTAACAACAAGACGTCGCATCCTACCAACATCATCTTGCTCGCAGCATCCCCCCTGGAACCCAAGGAAGTAGAACAGATCAAAAAGCGTTTGAAAGCCGTCAAAGGAGGTGGTTCCGAGTTTTCCATCCAGGTAGTTCTCTTCGACGGCAATCTGTCAAAAGACGTGGCGAGATTTCATCGCCAGCTAGACGAGCAACAGTCAGGCGCAAGAGACATATACAGTACTATCTCCTTCAACGAGGCTAAGCTGCTTAGCAAAGGCTTGAGCTCACTTGCCCTGAAGACGATCTTGAATGGTCACTCCAAAGAAGTCGCTCGGACGAAGCTCAGCGCGGACCAAAAGTACGGCATCCACGGGGGCGCCTCACTCAACCTCCCAGCAGTGGCCGAACTACAGAAAGCTCTTGGACTTGAGACAAGCCGTCCCGAGGAACAAACTCTTGTATTTGGCGATGTACAGGCGCCCGTAGTCGACTTGAAAGAGGCTGGAGACGGAAAGGTCTAGGGTCAGCTCCTATCTACCGCTGGTGGGGTCGTTGCGAGCACTAGACAGATTTTTAGACCAGTGCTGGCCTTGATCCTGGGCGTAATGAGACCTTTTGTCAGTGAGATTGTATTGGTTCCTTTACTGGTTCGGTGCCTTGACACAGGGCAGGAATCGCGTGAATAGTATTGAGCTTTGTGAGCAAACAGGTATCTTGCCCGCAGTTTTGAGAAAGACCTTCCCATTAACGTGACATAACCGGATGTTCGTACGCCGTGGACGCTCATCGCCGTTGTGATAATATGGACCATCAAGCATTGCGCCACAATCTCAGAGACGTTTGCCTTTAATTCAGCATGCATGGGGCACGGGTTGATAACTGTGCGTGCGAGCACCCTCACCGCCAAGCTGGCATGTCTTACGCTTCGCCAGTGGCTCGCTTGCTTCCCTTCCCGATTCTGCTCTTTGAGAAGAGGACCGGAAGCCTCTAGCTGAGTTCGGATATTGTTGGTATGCCTATCACAGGGATTCTGGTTCGAACCGTGGGTTGACGGAGATGTCAATTGATCTGTATTAACTTCTGCGTAAGGTGGAAAAGGGGATTCCAACCGCAGGTTAGGCAGGCCGCGATTATCGTAAGTACGGCCCGTAAGTGGCCCCTGCTCGGGCCCCTTGCCGCGAGGTCGAATTGGACTTCCAATCCGACAGGTATATACATAGGCTGGACACGAGAGGAGTACAATAGATAGCAGCCATGGTTTTGTCTACATTGACTCGCTTCCCCCACAGAAATTCAGTGAGGTCAACCGGACCTACGTTGCGAAATCTCTAGCGGAATCTAATTGCCACAGGAATGAATTAGTAGGCATCTAGGGCTCTTTTAAGTTGTTAAATCGTGACGAGAAGGGTCGTCTGAGCGTTTCTTAGTCCACGTAGAGGAACGGAGTCGTCTTCACACTCGGAAATCGACTAGGTGATAAAACGCGGGATAGAAGATTACAAGTCTTCCTTGTAGCGGATTAGCACATGAAGAAATCGAAACAGGTAGCTAGTCTTCGGATCGCCTGCAGTTGTACCACGCCGATTCAGGCGGGAACTGCGTAGAATGAGGGCTTTTCGTCAGGGGAGTAAGTTCGTTGACTATCCTAGACGTAACGTAACTCTAGCGTTATAGCTCATCGCCGACGTGTGCCGCGCGTACGTGGCCGTTTGACACAATTGCCTTGTGCTTGAGTTAATCCGATCGAAAGGAGATTTTACATAATCCGAAGATTCTGATCGTGGTTGATCGTTTTGATCGACGAATCTTGCGTATTTGGCTGGCCGTGAACTAGGTACAGATGCCTTACACTACTCTAAATGCGTATTGAGATACGCTCCTGGTTTCAAAAGCGATAATTCTTTACTGTTTCACATATCAGCGTCCTAAAATGAACTCTCGGCTTTGTCCAGACGAAAAGAAAATGGCCTTCTAGCGCGTGGAGGATTCGGTCTGCCTGGAAACATTTCTGGAAACGACAAGGGCCATTCCGACGATCAAGGTCAGGCATCCTTTTCCAAACGCCTGCGCGATCTAGATGTCACTCCAGTCAGGGACCAGTTCTGGTGATCGTCTATGCTGCGCCCAAATGATACAAGTAGCTTATGCGCATTTCTTGGATATAGACTTAACGCGAAATTCGTTGACAGATGAGGTCCTGGCCAGGGACGAACCGCGTAATATTTTGCATGACGCAGCATCGCTTACTATATGGTGGTGCTTTACTATGTCTATCACCATGCATTTCGTCTTGTGACATACGCTGGAACGGCCGAGTTGCACCTCCATCTCAACACGTGCCCAAGGAATCTTCATTATCCGTCACCTTCGATGACAGTAAGGCCCACAAGGCTTTTTGTGCTCTTGAAGCCTTAGCTTTTCGGAAGAGAGCGATGATCTTCTCTGAGCTACCCCAATCCTGGTCTCATCGAACCGAGGTGGCAATAGCGTCCTCTACATAAGACGTGTGCATAATTCTACTTTCTTTCCGGACCTTGAGCCCTGTGATGTTGCCGCCACAGCAATGTCCAGACCACACATACACCATCAGAATATCAAAGCGAAAGATGCATCAGCATCTACAGCAAAAGAGCATGCTCTGCCTTCAACCTCGGGATTCAACGGTGTCTCGCTACTCCTCCGTGCTACCTCTTCCGCTCCCGCAAACAGTCGGTAGGATTTTCATCTGAGAGTCTCGCAGCCCCGCCCACTTGTCGTTGGCGGATGAATCAGTTTCTTGCCTTCCCACATCATGTACGACCCACCAGCTTGGTACTTCACAATAACCTTGTGATCCGACGGGATTGGTGCGAGTTTTGGTGACATAGACTCGGATGTATTACGGCTGATCTGGGCAGAATCAAGCCGTATATAGATTCCAAAAGATATCCTTTCTCTAAGAATACGGGGGTGTGTGATAGACTCCAATGTCGGCTCGAGATACTTGGATGGATCGCGGCACTATATTTTCGATTCGATCGTGACTAGGCAAGACCTTTGTGATTATACCAGAAGCATACCTGATACGTTCAGATTCTGCCCGGATAGCAAAAGATTGGTAGCACTGTGTGTACTCTGAACGAATTCAGAAGGCAGACATGAGCAGCATCATTGATATTTGACTTATGTCTCATTTAATGTTTATGTTTTCTTCTCTTATGGCGAATCACGTAATCATGCCGAACGAAAGTCTTGCCACACTCGTCGCAAATACCACCGATGGTAGGAAATCCCACCAACTGCGCCCATAATCTGTGCATCTTCCAGACATGTCTTCGCTTCTCTTTCTCCCCCTTGAAGCATGACAGGCAGTCAACCTTCGGACACTTCCGGTGCCGCCAGACGTGTTCGCTGAGAAGTGTGAGCGGGAGTTTTCTAGCGCAGTGAAAAGTCATCAGCAATTCACCATACTTACTCAAAGAAGCCTCGGTCTTTAGCAGTGTATGAACAGCCCTTCCAGTGACACCGGAAGATTTTCCTGGCATGTCTCGACGGGGCAGATGCTCTGTTGGACGAAAACGGAGCGAGGCTGGCTTCTGTCGAGTTCGGTACTGAATTTGACAACTGTGGCCCCCGGTCGAAAGTCGGCCCCGAGCAAGCCACCTCTGCGCCTAATGAATTTCCCATCACCGTTTGCTCCGCATACTCACTAACGATATTCATCTGTTGGTGAAGCGGTAGCAACTCTCCAATGCCTCAAGACAATTGAGAGGGTGAAAGGATCTCGGAAGGGTGCGGAGGGGCGGTAGACGGATGGAGAGGCAAATCGCACGTCAAGTCGTTCGCTGCAGAGTCGTATGCGAAGAGACATGAGTGGTCCAAGATGTTCGAATCCGATCGATCAGTCTCACTGGTAGTGTCATTTTGCGGACCTTGCGAACAAATGGTCAATGGCATAGTGACATCGCCCTCAAGAAGTGTGGGATCTATCGCACCGATTCGAAACCCTGTAGCTGGTGCCCGGGCCATGTTTTATCGTGTCCAATGCATCCGTGGTTGGTGATGTTTAGCTTACAAAATGTGACATATGGAGGTGGGCTTCGATGGGGTTTCAAGAAAGCCTGGAGCGTAACTAGCGACGTAACCCCGCTCTATGATCGAGCGTCGGCCCTGATCATTGGATGCGACTCGGGCAGGTGGGGTCCACCGTTCTAGCCATCAAGTGGGGGAGTGGATCTGTGCTGCAGTTAGTTAGGCTTTCGCGCTGTTGCTCAACAAATCCTTTTAGCATGCCCTTGTCCTTGCCACGTGACAACTGACGGGAACCTATTACGATGTATGTCGGAGCGTGGGCGTGTTATGCGAGAGTCTCTTTGCCCGGCCAATAGAAGACGCCCGGCCTCCAGCAGCAAGCCTAAGCCAAATGCGGATCCTCCCAAGTGCGTTGAAGGGGGAAGTGAGAAGGTATAAATAATCATTTCAAGTGAAACGATCCCCCGACCTCAACGTAATCGACAGCCCGGCCAACTCGCAGGAGGGTGCAATACAATCAGGGCCACTACAGTGAGGTGGCAGAGGCTCATTGCATGGCGGAGACAACCCCGACAAGCCTCACTGGCAAGGCTCACGAGCGATTCGTGACTGTCACGGCACTACTACATCTGATTGACCCAGTACGCGGTGAGCCCACAACTTATAGCCTCGACAGGCATCCTCACGACAGTTACTGGAAACACGAGCAGCACCAGAAGAAGTTCCTCGACTCGTTTGCTTTGATATCTTCGACTTCAAGGATAGGGGGCGAGACTGCTTCCGCAGTATGTCTGGAGCAGGGCCACCCAGGTGGGACAGTCCTGCGACTTGCCAGGAATCTGGGCGTTCCCAAGGACTTGCTCAAACAACTGCAGGATGTTCTCATCGATCTCACAGCAGTTTCTCTGAGGGGTAATCCACGGCGAAAATAGGGCAATTCGAACGAGACGCTGACCAACACGAATCCTAGATAAGAGACCGGACGACGTGGAACCTGAGGTGTTGCGTAAGGTCGTCATCCTCACTCAAGACAGAATTCGCGCACTCGTGGAGAAGATAAGCCTCCCAGAAATCAGGGCTACCATCGAACGTGCTATCCAAGAAATGGATCAGTCATCCTCGGACAACGCCGAAGAGCTGGGTTTTAGGACATGGGTCCGTAACCTGCCATCACTTGCGTCTCTCGATGCCAGAAGCCATTCTACCCTGCTCATACCGCATGTCCAGTGGGCATCGCGCGGTAGATGGATGTATTCTGAACACCTTGAAAGGCTCTTCGGGCTCGCGGACGGGTCGTTACCCTTGTGGTTGAAATACGTTTACAAGCTAGGGCGATACTTTGCTGCAACCAAGGCGATGCTCAAATTGGCCGTGAAACAACCAAGCATCTTCACAGGGATACACATCGAACCCATCGATGCTCCGGAGCCGGAGGATTTCTCGCTAGGCACGCAGAGGGAACCCCTCTTAACATTGCTCAAGAAAATTGCCCAAAGCGACCCAGAAGTTTTGAGAGAGAAACTAGGTCAAACCTGGCTAACGACTGACCCGGAGACAAAATTACGACGAGCTTGCAAGATGACACTTATTGTGCACGCGGAAATGCAGCTGCTCAGCTTTTACGACCACCATCCCCACCTTACACCTAGGCTATTGTTCATGGGTACTAGCAAGAAGGCTTGCTATCTGTGCAACGAGTTCATGTCCCGCCATCCCCTCAACGTTGGAGTCTCGGCAAGCCACCAGAAAATCTACCCAGCCTGGATGTCCCCCCCATGCCATACTTCCGTCAGGAAGCAGCAGAGAGCCCGGCTCTGGGAGCTCAGCCGACATCTGGAACAAGCGGCTGTGCGTGACCTCGAGACGAGACTGGGAACCCGGCGACCAATGACAATGGACTCAACAGCGGGGCCGTCACTTACGACGACGGGAACGATCTCGTCGGGATTCTGGTCACGCGATTCGAATTTGGGCGAGCTCGAGACAGATGAGGAGTCCGCATCCTTCATCACACAAAGTATGAAGTCTACGTCAGTCCAAGAAGACGGGGTTGAGATGTAAGGTTATGGCATCCAGAACAGCCATTCGCTGATCCTGCCTAATTGTCCTCGACAGCCGCATTGTCGACCACGATTAAAATGAGCTCTTCAATAATCCTTCTACTGGTTTCGAGCATTCAATCTATTCCATCAGCACCGAATTCTGCTCGGCCCGAGCGCGCATGCCAAATGAGCCCAGGCCGGTATCCCGACGACACGCACGAACGACGGCCGAACTGCATGTTAACCAGCTCCTGCCAATCCCGGGATAGGCTGAGTGTGGTTGAAAGGGGCTTGCCGGAACTGTCAACCGCAATCGGTTGAACATCAGGCTAAACACATTCGACTTCACACTCTAGCATCAGCTCATCCTTATGGAACGGTGCAGCTGCCTTACCACGGCATGTGACAACTTCTGAACGGGACAATCTTAGATGGAGCCATATTCCCGCCGTGTTGGAAACGTTGGGCCAAAGCTACAAGAGGTGGAGGGGAATATTAGCGTAGCGCTTAGGGGCTTGAGCCAAAGGTAGAGCGATCTGGACACGAATGGGGTATCCTTACATTCGGTACGGACCATCGATCATCGATCTTACTATTGCCGCAGAGGCGCCGTTGGTCTCCTTAAATCAGCACATGAACACCTCATATTCCGCTCACGGTTCGGCCGGATGCGACGCTGCTCGAAGGATTGTAAATTCGAAGTAGACTGTGGTACCTACACTGGCAGCTAGACACATTTGAAGGATCTCGGACTTGAATACGGGCCAGTATGTGTTTTCAGCCCAGCGGGCGAGGTGCTGCATGGCAAGAAGCACAGTGATGATCCCGAACTCGGTCGACGTCTTGCCGAGCTCGACGTCGCTGTAAAGAATGGACTTGTCATCTTGGATCGCGCTAGCAACGAAAGACCAGCTGTGGCCGCTGATAATGACGCCAGGCAAAAACTGGATTGCCCGCGGGTCGGTAGGGCCTTGCAGGAAACCCCTCCATTGTGACGAGTGCCATGATCCCATCTGCACCATCGCCTTCTCGAGGTCGGCGCCGGGACGCTTGGTCTCGAACGATACGACGATGGGGCTCTTGCACAAAATTCCGTGGTCCGTATGATTGATGGTCACATCTGGTCGATTTTCCCGAACCTCATCAATCCGGCTGGCCTCAGCACTTCCTCCGGGAGGGCGGATGACCATGCAAAAGTCAACCATGTTCGACGCTGATTGCTTCGCCCTGTATGTTTTAACCACCTGGGCGCCAGTGCAGTATGTGTAGTCAACAAGGCCGCGCTGGCGGTTCGGTCGAAGCGCCCATTCCATCATTGGCAGATGGAGCTCCGTGTTCCAGCTAGGTTCGCCGTGAAGGTTGATTTCGCAGTCTTCGGCCTGGTCTAGTAGCCATGCAACGAGATCTCGGGGTGGGCACCGGAAGCCGGGTGGTGCAGGAATGCCCTCGGGGAGATAAGCGTGATCTGGTATATCGAAGTCGGCAAACTGGCATTTGAGCAGCGAATTGTCAGTCTGTGGTCCAATCGGTAGAAGACAAGCGTCCATAGCAGAAGGGAGTGGAGCAGGCGGTGACAATCTCGTCATGGATCACAAAGTATGTACCTCGGTGCGCATGTCATGCGGCAGTAGCTGAAACCCCCATCGGATTCCCTGCAGCTCGTTGACGAGTGTGGCGAGCGAGGAGGGCAGTTCAGCGCGGCTCTTCGCAAACTTGCGATGGACAAAGCCGTCCGCCTGAAGAGCCAGTCTTCTCAATTGTTTCGTAGGTGAGGACGTCCGTGATGAAATGCTAGACGCCGATGAGAAGCTAGGCGTGGATGTGCGAGCAATGCGTTGGTCGTTGAGCTGGGACGCTCGCGGCGTGGACTGGATGTCGTGTCCATTTGGAAGAAGGCTTGCGCTTGGCTCTTCGTCGCCGTCATTGTCCTCCTGACTATGGTCATGCTTTCGTTTGACTCCTGTAAGGGGCCTGGATTCCATCAGAGAAAAAACAAAGCAGGGAGAGTGCGACGATGGCGGTGACAATGGAGCCCTCAACTCAGTGTTGGGATGGATGCGGCGTCGTTTTCGCGGACGGCTTGGCTGCGCCTGTTCGCCGTGTTTGCCGTGCTCGTCGGGCGTTGGGACAGCGGCCCGCCAGGCATGAATTGCAGCGCAAAGGCTCGCTGATCTCGTCATTGAAGCCTCGCTTCAACGTAGACAGTGACGATAAGGGCGAATGGTGAAGGTTATGATGGACAACTGAAAACCATCGGCGGATGTTCTTGGGGCGATGGATTTCATGTTGTTGGCCGGGAGACAACCAGTCAGATGCGCCTTAGAAATCCGACTTGTGGACCCTGCGCAAGCGCCGTCTCGGTCCTTTTCTCGGCTACCAATAGGCTCGCGAGTGCCTGTGTATGGAAGGGTTTCACAGATGGGTCTAAACAGCGAATGCTTCTGTGGAAGGGCCAAGAAAAGAAGTTCAACCGAAACCAAAGTAACAATTGCGTCGGCCTATGGAGTTAGAAGGCTCACTGAAGGCGGCAGTGAATGGCTGTGGCGCTTAGAGGACGCGCTCACCATATGCAGGGGAACCCATCGTGAATCGGGTATAGCAAGTTTCCTGCCTTCTCGGCCGTGCGCTTGTAGCGTCCTATCAGTGGCCGTAGGTAGTTCCCGACGCTCAATCGGGCGGCTATGAAGGGACTTCGCCTGGGAGAAACCGATGTACCTAGTGGATAGGTTGAGCGAAGTGAACTTTGGCGTAGGTGATCACTTCCGCTCGTCCGCCCTTGTTAGGCCTTGCCTGTCTGGACGGGGAAAGGTTGGAGGCCTTGCTCCATTGCAGGCAAGGCTATGCTAGCACTGTGAGTAACATACCAACCTAACTGGCGCAGTCATCCTGCAAAGCGCTTGCCGGGCTTAATCTCCTTAGACTATGGGCTTTTCAACCCGGAGTATTGCCGCGACTCTCGGACGACAACGCCGATCTGGTTAACGGTGTGAGCACGGAACGGCCAGGTGCTGCCTCGACACCAGCGACGCAAAGACATCGGGTAGCCCGCCGCTCTCTGCACGTGCTTCGGAGCCCACGCCTGCAGCATACCGCCTGTCCTCTACCAGTCAAGATCTCGAGAGGAAATGCGAGTCGAAGTCTCCGATGCCATTCGTCTCCATGACAGGGTCTACAGGGCAGCAAACTTGTGTGACACATGGCCGAGGTTGGCGATATCGAGCCTGCTACATGTGGTGTTGTGGACAGCGTGAATGCACTCGCCACTTGTACTGTGATGGCTAATTAACAGCTGGCCGAAGGGGCTGTAGCGGTGTACGAACCCAAATGTTGATACTGTCCAGGGCCGGTGGTGGACACTGACAAGAATACGCTGCTATCCGCACTATTCGCTTTCAAATGTTGTTTGCAAGCAAGCCGCCGCAGCCATGATCAGATGCTTGAAGAAGCTCATCACGGCAGCAGTACGTGCAAAAGAGGAATTGGCATATTTCGCAACGCGCGTACGCGGATCCGAGGGATTTATTTGTTGGAACCAACATTACAGATGGCGCGGGCGATTGTGATGTTACCGCATTTTGAACTTGCCGACAGTGGACAATCACAGCCCCGGACCCGAACACCATGATGTTTGGTCAGCAAACCGATTGCAAATTACTCCTTTACCGGCCCGAGAAACGGCATGGTTACGCATTGCGTCGCTTGCAGCAACACCAATCCAAAGCTCTCTACGCTGCGTTCAGTATGTCAGAGGGGAAACGGCAACTAAATAATTGGGCTTTGTGTCTCGAATTGTGACTGTAGATACCGCATGTGGAGCGGCTCAGCCGCCTCCAACGGATAATTGCATCTGCACCATCGTGATCACGGCCGCAAACCTTGGCGTGTCGTATACAGTTGCCAGACAAGCAAGCACAACCGTGCGGACGAGTGTGCCCGACTTACTAGTCAATTGGAGTACTTCGGGAAAGACCTGACCATCACTATGATCAGTAAAAGCCAACATAGGATGACATGATGCGTCTCGCAGGTTCACTAGCTTGCTTGGTTTGGGAGACCATCGTGACTGATGGTACGTGGATGGACGTCAAGCCTCAAGGTGTTGGCTGTAATCCGACCGAGGGAATACGAAGAGCAGACGGCTCGCGGGCCTTGGTGAATCCAACATCAAGCTCGCTATTAGGGTGTTTTACTGTGACGGGCAGGAAGATCCTAGCGCAGTCGCAAGGTGGAGTGATGCGTCCTCCCTTGTTCCCCATCTTGTTGCGACCGTTGTAGGATCAGGGGGCCGACTTGGCAGTAGGTTAGATGTTGGGGTAGCAATCGTGTTGGTTATAAACGGTCAATGTCGAATTGACCGTTTATAACAGATTGACCATGTAGCTTCCCGACTGCTTGCAATAACAATGGGCAGCGAGCGGCCAGGCCGAAAGAGAAATAAAGAAGGGGGAAAAAGCATAAAAGCCCGTAGTTGCACGCCACGGAAGCAATATGGAACTCATCAGAAGACATTCAGACAAAACCATTTCTCTGCCTCCTCCATCTGATGTCGACACCGATCCACTCATTCCACGGTCGGAACCCACCACCGTTCCGCCCGCGAGTCTTTCTTAGACCCGGAGTTTCGTCTCTTCCATCGATCAACCCCACATACCCGGGGCCGCAGGTAGGCCAATCTCTCCATCAACCCCATACTGTCATGAACTAGCCTAATGGTCGCGAATAGCGATGCACCATGTGTCTTGACCCTAATTGCGAGGCTCGAACTGCGCTGCGTTACATGTGGAACGCGCAGCAGTACCTGTCGAATGCGCAAAAAAAGCTGGTTTTCATACATCATGAGCGTTGCCGTATAAACGAAGAACATTGCGACATTTTCCGTCTGCCCATTGTGCTTCCGACTCACGATGTCAGCGGAGAATGTCGAAGCAGATACTATCGTGCTCTGGGTCTGGCGACTCGGATGCACCATCTCGATCAGCGCGAGCGTGTGTTGCGAGAGGGCTGCCGGAAGGCCCATCAAGCTTTGCTGATTCAGTTGGCCAGGTTCGGAGGGATCAATGAAATCTCAGTCATCGCAACCGAATCGCAGATGGGACCACAAGAGGACCACAAGAGCAGCCACGAGAGCGCCGCAGAACAAGCGACGCGTAAACTTTATAGCCTTTGTTTGCACCTGCTGGTCGCGTAGGTGAAGGGCAGTCACATGGGTGCCGAGACGTGATTTGTACGGATTCGATGTGGGAGGAACTTGCGCAAGAAACACATGGGGGGAGGCGAGAGTTGGAAGTTCTTGATACTGCGTGCCCAGGACGTTTTGCCGGGTGTCAAATTGAACAGAAAAGTTGTGTCATGTACGGAGTACTGTGCCAAAGCTAGATGCCCCCTCCCACATTCTTTTGCTCCTTTCATGCCATTCCTTGCTCTCAACGTCGGCTTTGTTAGACACTGGTATCGGTCGCTTCCCCACCCAATATGATGTTTGTATCTGGCGAGTTACATACAGTTCTTATCATAAGTCACTTCCTCTCTCGCAAACATTCTCAATCTTTGAGAAGCCGAAAGTTGCTGTGATGGGCCTCCGCAAACCTCTGGTGATGGCTGTGACGGTTGGTTTGCAACCCAGAATGTGGGGTCGGGATGGTGTACGACAGTGCGAGGGGCAGCGTGTAATCAAGAGTTACTCCAAAGCATCCATAACCGGCTTTCACAGCAGTCACTCTCGCACTTCTGATCGTGGTTGCATGTACACAGTAAGAAAGACTTTGGGCCCAGCCTGTGTGGGTCAGATCCAAAAAGATGAAGCAGCATGTAATACATGCAAAGGTACTGCTGGTTGCGGGTCATAGCAGATACGTAGAGGCACATGGATACTCCGTCACGGCCGTGGTATCCATAAATGACTGGACTGGAACCTAAATGCTGAGCCCCCCACACCTCCATTTTGGCTTCTGGCGCAAACCCTTGTCTAGCCCCTGCGTAAAAACGGGGATTGAGAGGCTGGGCATAACAGATCTTGCCACAATAACGACAATTATGCTCATAGCCAAGTCGCTTCCTCTTTAGGGGAGCGTACCGGATGTTTCCGGTGCTCCATATAGTGTCATCTCTTAGAAAGCGATGTGCACCCATCTCCACCTCAATACCTCTCCGCCAATTCGCACCGCAACTCACCGTGATAGCTCCTCAATTGGTCTAGATCAGGCAGCAACCGCCATGTTTGGAGTTTTTGGGGCACATTGCATTTCTTGACCTCAGAAACGCTGATCATAAGCGCAGAAAAGGAAGCAACACATGGTCATGACTGTACACTAGTGGAGTAAGGCCCGGCCACGCTGGGTAGTCCGAATAGTGATTGTTCCACGGCCAGCGATGACAAATGAGGACCAGGCTCTTGACGCGGAAGATCCACCCTCCACTGAATCCCGCGCGGCCCGAGATCATCCTCGAAATCTGCGCGGTTGCAGAGGATTTGCCCGCCAAGAGCCCGCTTGTGAGCAGTCTCTCGTCGTTGGATAAGGTTCAGACACTCC